GTAACCGGGCAGGAATGAGAGGGGAGGCAGTAAATAAATCACCCATTTTAGAATTTGCTTTAAAGCCGGCCTCTTGGCTTTCCCTCACTGCATTAATCAGCTGGAAACCACGTCCAAAGAGTTGTCACCGAATTACAAGAGCGAGATTAGAGCTGCAAAATGCCTCCAGGCTCAAACCTTTGGACTGGGGTTAACTTCGGGGCTTTTAAAACATGATCCAACCGCACAGAAATGAAACCTCTCAGCGCGCACACCTTCTTGGTCTCCTCCTTCAGGGGCTGCAAAAGCCATTACGACTCCAAAAGAGGTGGAATGGACCCCAGGCGGACAGACGGATACTTAGCCGGGCGGCCGGACGGGCTGGAAAACTGAGACGCCTCAGTGCTCGGGACACGCCGACTAAATGTCTGGCTGCTCTTCAGAGGCTCTCAGGTGTGACCGGCCCGTCTCCTGTGTACCAGTGCCAGGACGGCAGACAGACACAGAGGGCGTTTCATGGAGCCCGGAGCGGAGTGAATATCTGCTCTATCTGGCCCCGCCACAGGCCGCGGACGCCGCTGCGAGCAGCCCTAACACAAGCCAGATCTTCTTTCCTGCACAACTGTGGAGGCTTTCACCCCGTCCACGCATATTTTCAGGCTGAGTCTGCGTCGAAACCTTTTGCCAAGGACCTGCCTGACACGTCATCTCTCCCAGCAACTGTGGGGTTTTTTTTCAAAAAGTCTGACGACTAACTCCTTGCATTCGAATCAAAGCTCTTCGGTTTGACCACAAACGCCAGAAATAAAAAGTTAACTGGGACGTTCGTGTCGTTCCCACTGCGCTAACACTGCTGCATCGATGGAGCTCAAACCTCACAGCGGAGGCCCTCGCGTCCCCCCCCCCGGTGCACTTGTGTGCACACATATGCGCACACAACTCTTCCCTAAAATTGCTGATGGCTTGTTTTCACGAAGTGATATTATTTCCAGATGGAGGTCATGAATAAAACCTGACGGAAACAAGTCGGGTGAAACTGGAAACTTAAAAAAACAAAAATGGAGGGGTATGGAGCCGAGTAAAAAAAACAATCATCCTCCTCCCCCGCTCATTCCCTAGCATTTAAAAAAAGACCAGCTTGTCAATTACATGCTTAACAAACAGAGGAACATTTTGCCACACAGGAACATTAAGAACAGAACAGTTTTCCGTCTTTCAACACAGAAAAAATATGTGACAAAGAACTTTTAGAAAACCGACTTTCATAATGAGATACAGAAACAATAAGGCTCAGAGAAGTTGAACTTTGAGCCTCTACGCGTCGCTTGGCTTAAGAAAACAAAGTTGCGGAAGGAAAGGGAATACTTTCAGACTCAACAGAGAATACAACAAAAAAAACATGCTATCAATGACAACCAAGAAGGGTGCTGATTCCCCAACCCCAGGCAAATCCACAATCCTCAGCATCAAACAAGTCACATGATTGTTTCATCTGTGGAAAAAAAACGACACAAAGCAGGGTACATAACACAATGACTAGAAAACCACCCACACATTTATTTTAAATGAGTACAACCTGTTTAAATGGGTTGTCTATGCACGCCTTTATGAAGAAACTGTAAGCTAAACCCAAAAGAGGAGTGGAGGATATCACAGCTAACTTCCCATTGGTCCAAAATGGGATAAAAAGTAGGATAAAAAGATCAGCGAAACAGTCTTCCACAGTCAGCAAAAGACTATCTGTAAATCGAGAATGAAGTTCATTAATGCAATACTCCAAAGGATTTAGGGATTTTGTCTTGTAGGGTGCAAATCTCATTAAATGATCATTAAAAGATTAAGATAATCTCTTAAGAGACAAATCTAAAAACTCTGGGGCATAAGGTGATGGAAATTCTTGTGCAGTCTCTGGGAAGCTTTTAAACACTGTACTGAACATCAGTGGGGACAAAACTTTATAGTTACTCCAATTTTAAATGTGTAAACATCATACTGTCCAGATTTTTTTTGTTGTTATGGAGTTACATGCATAACATTTAGAATATCATAAATAAATAAGCAATAACATTTCTCAGTTTCAAGGTTCTGAAATGGTGAATTATCTTGTATTAAGTATAGCTATAATGGCTAGCAGATGATCGTATTCTGGTTTATATGTATTTCATGTACATTTTTACAGTTACTCAACGCCTCAAGTGTCTTTTTGGAAAAATTGTGATTTAGCTTCTACTCTGCAATGATTTATTAAAAAATGTTTAAGCGTTTAAGAAAGCTGTGCAAGAAGACCAAACACTCATTTGTTCTGTCGAAACGGCTGCCAAGACAAACCAGCCCAGTGCCAAACAATTTCTCCAGAAAAATGATGTGGAAAAGGATGGATCACAGCTGTAGTTTCCACACGCGCCAATTTATCTAAATGGGATTGTTTTTTTGTTTTGTTTTGTTTCTATGTTTTTTTATTCCTTGCTTTCGTAACAACATATCATTCTTAGAATTTGTTTACTGAGTCATTTTTGTTTTGTCGAGCTTTCTCAGATATTTATTCATGGGTGGAACAAGAATTAAGAAGACTGATACCACTTACATTAAAACAATAAATCAGAAAAAGAAAAGCCCAAACTGTTTTGCCAGTGGCTGCTCATTTGAAGTCATAATGCCAGAAGTAGACAAAGCTAAGCTAGCCCTCTATGCTAGCATGCTGCTGGTTTAAAATGTTAAAATATGAAGTCAGTTTGGTACAACTCTTTTTTTAAAAATTTTTAGAAAAAGCACAAAAACTACCCTTTGATGATGTTAGTCGTTAACTTAGCAAATGTTTGCATTCTTGCTAAGCTACTACCTTGGTGCTACTTCATTAAGTTAGCTAAGCTAAGCAGCTAGCTTTTGTTTAGTACCAGGTGTGAGGACGGCTTTTTAGACAAATTATAGCTCTTGTGCCTGTCATTGCTCTTTTATGTGAGGCCACAAGTGTGAAATAAAACATGATTAACCAGTACCTCTGGTCAGTCTGGCTGTCTTGGTCCTGCAAGCCGGTTTTATCTCAGATGAAGCAGGCTTATCTAAATGATCAAAACTCTAATCAGCCAGCTTTGTCCAGACAACAAGGGGCCAACATAAGGCAAAGAGCACCCTGAGGCCTCTCCACTGCCTCTACCATAAAAGTGTACTTTGTAGAAAGGGACATGCCTTTTCAAGTCCGCAGCACAAGTATGGGAGAATAGAACAGGGCTCACCACGTTGATTTGGATTTTTTTTTTTTAAATCATCCTTGTTGATGCTAGTCTGAGTTTTGAATATTCTATGGAAATTGCATGATGGAATTTACTGAGTACTCCTGATATGATTGTGGAACTTTTTTGTTTTTCTTCTTCACGCAGCCGCAGCAAATGCATGACCGGATCCTTTCCCTTAACAAAGCCATCACAGGTATTTTATCTGCTAAACTCTGTGACAGTTGAAGGGAAATACTCCAGACTTAACTTTTCAGCCCACCACCCTGCAGAGCTGCTCTTATCTCAGCCCCAACAGGTTCCTCCTGGCAGGCACAGATGGCAGCCCATTCGTGTGCAAACTGCAAACTGGGCTCTGATTGTTCTGATGTCTGCCTTTGTCTTACAGTAATACCCCCCAACCTCACCCTGAGAAAGGGCTGGCCACTAAGCTAATTTACATGTATTAATTAAGGCTCATAATGATCCCAGCATGATGGGGCATTTGAATGCATTCCTCTGTATTGTGCAAACTCAGCGGAGCTCTGAGGGGTTTTGCCGTCTTCACCATTCAGATGAGCTGAAGATTGTAGATGTGGGGGCACGCAAGCAGATAAAGAAATCAAAACACACAGAGAAGCCCGTCAGCATACCACGCAATAGCAACCTCCCCCCACGAAACACACACACACACACACACACACAAACACACACACAATGGTGCTAATGAGAAATAAACAGGCTGTTAGCTGCAGTTAAACTTTATACAATAAAAATGCAAATGGCCACAACTGTAAAAAGTAGAAACATTTGTTTTATAAATGACAAATTGTACAGTCACAAGTGAAGCATATAAAACACTGAAGTGAATAATTTTTCATTGAAAATAAAACTTTCACCCACAAGGTGCACATAAACCGTAATGCACAAACATGTAAGAATAATCACATTTCGTTTGATTGTATAAATATCAACGAACTAAACACTATAGTTAAAGGTACGTAAAAACAGTGTTTTGGAATGGTTTTAATCCTCTTTTCGCTCGTCGTTGATGTGTAAATGCTAACAGGGTTGTTGCCATATCCTAGCGCAGCTCAACTTAAACCAGACAACCATGAAAAAAACTGCCTCGACCTCAGAGCATAATACATCAAAGTGTATTTGTATAAGAGCTTGTTTTCTTTTCTTGTCCTGCGGCTCCAAGCGCTGAGCTGCAGCGGCCGCTCTTATTACCGGCTTGGTTTAAAAATCTGACCGCCGGGACTTGATCTCATAAGAAAAGCCAACACACATGGCAAATAAAGTCAAAGTAGGGAAAGAAAAAAAAAAAAAAACTTGTCAAGGGCACAAGGCTCTCCCTCCTTAACTGTACCTGAAGGGAAATCCCTTTAAATAGTAGCTGGCAGAGGCGGCGAGCTGGCAGGCAGATCAAACGCTCAGCGAGCAGAAGCCTTATAAATACGCCACATTCAGTTGCTGACTTCCAGCTGCCCGGCCTTTACATGCTGCTCCTCATTCATGCACGCGGGGGTGGGGGTGTGGGGGGGGGGGGGGGGGCACAGAGCGCTTCTCTCCAGCCCCGGACCTCTGCTTCCCCTCCAGCTGCCGAACAGTCCCCGCTCCGCAGAAACTCCAGCCCCAATGAGAGCGTCCGGCTTCGACCACGTGTCACAACGAGGGAACTTCGGGAGCTTTGGGTTTCTTCACATACACCTCCGACGTTCTGTCGGGCACCAGGTGACTGAAACTGCTTTTGAAAGAGGCCAAAAGGCGGCCTGCAGAGAACAACAACAAAAAAGAGAAGAGCCGTTTTGAACATTGACAACTTGACTGAAGAAAACGTGTTGTGACCTGACATGCTCAGCGTCTGTGTCTATTTAAGCCTTTAAAAGCCGTATCAAAGGATAAAAAGGAGCTGAGCGTGTTGACTTTGCTGTCCTAGTCATGTTGCAGGTGTGCTTATTCAGGCTTAGCGTGCGGGATACGTTGGCAAATCCGAACCTAAGGAGTTGTTTTCAGGCCACGGGAGGGCGAGATGAGGAAGAATGCCCACATGCCCCATGAAAACATTTCAGACCAGAGAGGGGATGAGTTTTTTTACGCACCCGTCCAGGTCTTCTGGCCCGTCAGAGCGAAGCTGCTGCACTGGGAGTGGGAGTTGCAGATGTGCGCTGCCTCCCTGGCGCTGTGGACGGACAGCACGCAGCCCTGCTGGCTGTAGGACGGCCAGCAGCGGTACTCCACAGTCCCGGACGCCCCCATGCCTCGCATCACAGCGTAATCTAAGGGGCGGAGGGGGGGGGCAGGCCACTTCAATGCACAATACTACGCAGAGACGAAAAAGCACTCGAAGGGATAAGCTGAAAGTTGAATGATCCCCGAGGGGGAAAGCTAATACAGCTCACTCTGAGAAGTGGCTACAGATAAGAGCAAACAACAAACAAATGCAACTCAATTAATCAGATATCTAATATAATCAAAGGACGAGAGCATAAAAAGTCAGATTATTTCACACTGACAACATCTGGTGGAAACATCAGGAAGAAAATTTGATGTCAGCATATTTGGTCGACTTTGCTTTAATTTTGTCGACAGTTTATGTGATGAATCAGCTTTGAGTCTTTATTTTCAATTGTAAATCTACTTATTACTTTTGAAATGACCAAAGTTTGTTCTTTTTTTAAAATCACGACAGCATATGACACAATTCATGAACTTTTGACCAAAAAAATAACACAAAAAAAAGAAAAACAGCATCTGAGAATCTTTTGGAAGATAAGTCTACAATTTTGCTGCTGCTGCGGATTCAGCTTTTTAAAGATAATTAACAAAGTAACTGTTTCAGCTGGGACTGAAACTGTTTAACCCATCCATAATGATATAAAAAAAAAACTAACACAAGCTCCACCATTTGTTTCCCTTCCCTCCATCTAAACATTTGTGTAACATTCATCATTATAATTCTTTCAGTCAGACGTCTGGTGGATCTGATCTTAAATCATCTGCTACGCATTAGCCGGAGCCGTGAGAGGGAAGCGCCGCACACACACACGCTCCAGAAACGGACAAAAGCCTCGTCTGTGAGCCCGTTCGGGGGAGGCACACGGTTACAAACTGTTAACCCTCCATAATGGCAGGAGGCGGCATAAGTGTGTAATGTGTGTGTGAGTGGGGGAGCATTGTTGGAAGGAAAAAGGACACGGAGAGCTGCCTTCTGGGTTTCAGTAAAGGGAACAAGGAGAAGGGGTGTTCGGAGGATCATTCTCAGTGGGAGGAGAAAATAGGCCTGCCGGGGAGTCGAGGGGTGGCAGATCTCAGCTCCGGAGACAAAGACTGACAGCCTTCGGCGTAAAATGATAAATGGGATTTCCATTTTGCTCTTTGAAAATACTCGGCTCATGACCGCGTTTTTAATTTAGAGTCTAATCGGTTGGTGCTGACACGCACACCTTTTAAGAAGCTACATCTTAACCACATTCAGGGCCGGCCCGTCACAGACTACCTCAGCTGTGGAAAAAACGACACCCACAACACTGATGACTCTCCATCTGTCAGCAATTTCAAATAAAGACTCACACGCGCGCACACAGCGGCTACCTTTGTCGGGGCATTAACCTAATCTCAGTCCAGAACGCAGGACGCTGCAAGCTGCCGGCTTTGGTGGACACGAGGCCCCAAATAGGTGCTTTCTACCGGAGCGTGTCAAAGAAAGTAGCACGGGCTTGTTTGTGTTCCGGATTGCCTCACTTTTCTTGCAAATTTGAAGGATTCATCCAAACCACGCTCATGAGGTGTGTCCAGGTTGTATTGTGAGGGTTACTACATTTATATTAATTCATCAGAGAAAATGGCACAGTTGTTGTGCCATTGTTGAGTTGGTAATGGGAAATTAAACAACAGTTTTCAAACTCTGACTGTTTTTAAAAAAAAAAAAGGCTTGTCTGTATTTTTTTGTGAATTTCTAAAAATATAAAAGCTTCTTATTACTTCTCTGGCAAAATACATACGAATGACAGAAAACAACTATCTATATTTACAATCAGCTGACACTAAGAGGGCCATCCACCATATTATCCTTTTCCATTTGCTAATCAGAGTCAACTCTACTCTGATTATAGCACAGCATGAAGATAACAGACAGCTGTTTATACTCGCTTTGTTCCTGGAAAAAGAGAAATTCACCAACCACCCCAGAATAAATCTGTTTAAACAGTTCACACTAATGGAGCTAACGGCTATTTTTTAAAAAGTCTTATCACGCACACACTGAGCTGCAGCAGCAGCGGTCGACTCCTGGCACCTCCTTGTTAAGCTGAAACATTCCCTCCCACCGTCAGCCTCAGTAACCAGGCCTCTTTACCCTCAACCTGTGATTAAATTCACAAAGCGCTGCTATATAAACAGTCCAGCATCTGGGGGACGGAAAAAATCTCCCCACAGGAACGCAGCCAGTCATTCTGTTATTAATATTTCATACTGCTGAGACGAACGGCAGGAGAGTGAGAGGGGGAGCAGCTCTCCAGTTGGAGGGAAGAAAAGTGAAGGGCTCTCTGTGTAGCGAAAAAACACACAGAAAACGGGCGAGAGGTTGGTGAAAGTTCGGCTTTTATGACCGCTCTGCGCGTTAATATAGCTTTAATAGAATGACCTAAATAACTGTAACTGGTTAAAAAAAAAACACGAGAAGAAAAAGCTGAACTCTCTTTCAACAAAGAGCCAAAGGATTACTTCAACCCGACACTGTTGTTTTTTCTGTCCCCTTTAAATGAACGCTGACTGGGCTTCCTGAGCCAGAGACTTGTAGGATTAATCCCACTTTGTTGGTTTTGTCCTCTCATTCCAGCTGCCTAATAAACCTGTCAGAACAGTCCGAGCAGAAGAAACAAACCGCCCTCTTTGGGCTTCCATACGAAATTAAAACAGAGGTGTAGATTGTCTGCTTATCTCTAAAAGTAGATCGCAAAAAAAAAAAGTATGGCATTCTCCATCGGGGAAAAAAAAGAAAAAGGACTACAAGAGAGCTCAGTGTCTTTAACGGAAGAAAATCTTCATTCCATCTGCTCTTACCTCTGATTATTGATGGAGGCAGGTTGTCCAGGTGTAGGCCTGACTTGTACAGCAGGAGGATGTGTTCAAAGGCTTCCAGCGTCTGATTGATGTCGGCCTTCAGCTCCCCTGAACAGGCACGGCGCATTAGTCAGGGAAAAGACACGCTGGAAGTCAGTCAAAACTTCTACTGTTTCAATTATTTTTTTCTTCTCCCCCCCACGCCGTTTCACCCTTACGGGATTTCAACAGGTAACGATTTGGACTCATTGTGCGGTTCCGCTTTCGGGGTCGGGGTACAGTTAATCGTGCCGGCGGGAACGGCACCCTCACCTGTGGTGTTCATGATGTGGTCGACCAGGTGTGTGAGGCCGGGCGGGGCCTGGTGGGGCAGCAGGTAGGTGAAGAAATACCTGGGGGGCCACACAGAAACAGACAGAGCAGTGAGACAAGCCCTGTCACATAGAGCGCCCACATAGCGTGACTTCTCTCACTCTGCCGCCGGAGCAAACGTCGGCCATAAAGCTGTCGGATATCCGAAGCCGGTTAAAGGAGAAAATACTTACACCCCCCCCCCCTCAGAAAGTAACAATGCAATCATCGCACTTCCATCAAACGGAGCCCTTCCAGCTGCGTGTCTTTACTACGGCCATTTTAGCTGTCAGCCCCAGCCTGTGTTTTTGAGCCAAATCTATCCATCCAACATCTATCATGCAGTAAAACCGTCACTTTTTTTTTCTTCCCCCCCCCCTTCTACCTGTAGGCATTGTAAATGTTCCTCTTCTCGTTCAGTCCCTCGCACAGCCCCCGGGATGAGCAGGGCAGGGTGAAGTTTCTGTGGGGGAAGCGGAGGGTGCAGTCGGCGTCGGCCCCGCACGCCGTCTCCCGGGCGCTGGCGTCGTCCAGGTCGGTGAGCTTCAGCTGACCGCCCACCGTCACAAACTGCCGCGGCTGGAAGTCCAGCAGCCCCACGGAGCCCAGCGGAGACCGCGACAGGAAGTGCAGGAGCCGGACCAGGTCCAGACACACCTGCAGAGCAGACATGTCAAAACCTGATCAGAGACACTGAGGAGGTGCTGTCCCGGAAACTCCAAAAATAGGATCTTAAAATGTTAATAATAATCCATGGTTTGCTTTATTGATCTAAAAAAAAAAAAAAGGCCCAGTTCCCAGGTCTATAGGCACATCTGTCTGAATTCAGGGTTTGGGATTTTGGATGTCTCGACACAATAAATCTGATCAGAACTGTTTGTGGATGCTTGTTAAGAAATCAGTCGGGTCTGCGACAGTTTTTGAAGCATCGAAACCAACAAATTCTGTCAGGATTTTGACCATAAAAGAAAATGCATGAGATTGATAGTCCCCCAAAACCCAAGTGGGTTAACCATAACTGTTATTGGCTACAAAAATAAGATTTTTTTTCTATTACTGCAGACAAAGAAAATGTTTCTGAACTTAATTTAGCAGAGCACGAAGCTATTTTTAAGTTATCCTTAAATTTTACCCAGTAACTAAAATGGCAGCTATTCACTCATTGGATTTAAGTCATTTTCCTTGTTGTAGCTACAAAGTAGGTTATAGACGTCTTCAAGCTACAAACTGATTTATTTTTGTCCTGGACAGACCTCTTATTAGACAATTGAGGTCAAGTTACACACAATCTCATGTTTTTTTGGTTATTTTTTCTAGCAACCAACAGTTTTGTGGGATTTCCTGAGGATGATTTTGTGGTCTCCTATCCTAAAATAAATGGCGAGGTCCACATGCTGACAAAGCACGAAATGCCTTTCCTCACTGCAAACATAGCTGCAGTGTTAGGTAATGCTTCCAGTCTATCGGACGTCACTTGGAGGGTTCGAAGCACAGTCCAAAAAAAAAAAAAAGAAAAAAGGGTGCTGGATGAAACCAAACACCGTTGGATTAATGTAGCCTGCGCAGATGCAGCGTAGCTGAGGGGGCCCGAGCGGCCAGAGAGGGGGCGTCCGAGTGATGCTGCTAAATGAGACCCACAGCTGAGACCGGAAGTTGCTTCTGCCCAGAAAGAAAAAAAAAAGTGCATGCTCGGACGTTTTTTAATCCTTCCCACCCATTCTCTCTTTCAAGCACAGCCACGCGCGACGAGGAGCTCATATTGGGATCACTGGAGTGAATCCAGCCTCTCTCCAGCTCGGCTCTGAGAGCTGAAACCGAGCGCTTATGTGTGTGTTTTGACATGGGAGGACATCCCCAGCCAAGAGGGGCTTAACTCGAAGGGCCCGTCTCCATTCCAACCAGGGCCGGATCAAATGCTCTGAAGGGCAGATGTCAGAGCTCCAGGAGTTTCAAATGTCCGCTTGCCTCATCTTTCAGCGCTGGGGTGCTCGGCCAAAAAGAGCATCTGCTTGCACATGCGACATGCGACCCCGGAGAGCAGAGAGAAGTGGATCGACGACAGGGCCGAGGAGGAGCACACGGCGCGCTTACCCTGAACCGGTCCTCCCAGGGGCTCTGCAGCAGCTGGATCATCTGGAGAGGATCCCCCTGCTCCAGAATGACCGCAGGTCGGCCCGCGTCCACTCCTCTTCCTCCCTGGACTCCAGCACAGTGACCCTTGAGCTGAGGAGGTGAATAAGCAGGGTTAGTCACAGTAAAAACCGGAGCCAACTCAATAACGCTGTTCTTTGTTTTTCCTTCCCCTCGGCCAAAAAAATAAAAAATAAAAATACGAGCACAAAAAACAGGTTAGCAGATCTAAAACTTGAGAGCTGGAGAACAAGATGTTCCGCCAGCCCGACGGCTCCGACATGTGACGGTAAAAATCGCATTACAGGCTACAGGGGACTGTGCACTTGGGAAATAAATCGATTGAGCCGTCGCATAGCTGCCGGATCTGAGGGGACAAACGCATCGGTGTAGTTCAAACCTGTTTCAAATTGGGCTGTAATGGTTTGAGTGAATAAGCACTCAGGGTTTCAGATGAGAGCAGGGATAGCGTGGAGGACAGAGGCACATTGTGTGCTCCTGCCAAACTGGACCCAAAGGTCAGAGGAGGGTCAGTGAATTTCATTTAATTACATCGGGAGGCCCCAGAGAGCCAGTGAAACCTTTTTTATCATACTTATGCTGGACGAGACAAAGGAAAATTTGAGCAGTCGTGGGTGGATTATGGAAAGTCAAGTTAATATCCAGCAGTGGTGCTCCATTAAAAAAATAAAGAAATCTGTGAAGTCTTTAGACAAATGGACTGAAAGATAGTCTTTAGACTGGACTGAAAGTAACCTCTAACAGCACTTCTTTCACTGTACGCTTTACCTTTATGACGTTAGGATGCTGCAGCCTTTGCAACAGCACCATTTCTTTCTTCAGCTTGTAGGAAACGAGCTCGCGGCAGCCCTGCGGGTCCCCGAAGTCCTCCAAACACTTGCTCATGTCTATCCCCTTCTCGTTGACGAGTTTCAACGCCACGAGCTGTCCTCCGGCCAGATGCACTTTGACCACCAGCTTGGTGTATCCGGAGCCCAGGACCTCCACTGCCCGCATGTCCACCAGAGAGTCGCAGCTCATTTGATCCAGATGCGCTTTCCTGGAGCCAAGAGTGATCTCATCCCACAAGCCGGAGTCGAGAATCGCGTCTTGGACTCGCGGAGAGGAGCCATCCCGGTCCTCGCCCTCAGGTGAGAGCAGCGGGACGATTTCTCGTCGCCTCTCTCGGAGCTGGTGGAGCAGGGCCAGCTCCTCCTCGCCCCCGGAGAGGCTCGCGTTTGGGAAGCGCGACGCGCTCGTCCCGAACTGGCGCACGCTGCCGATCAGGAGCGACACCAGGATGGAAAGAACCACGAAAGCCAGGAGGGCAGCTGCGCGTAAAGAGTTGCCCATCCCGGGCATGTCCTCTCGCCCCCCTCCTCCTCCACCTCCTCCTCCTCCCCAACTTCTGGGCACGACCCCCTGCTTCTGAAAGCGCGCTCCGTGGCGGCCCGACACGACCGCTCTGTGCACCCGAAAGGGGCTGTCTGCAGGAGAGGGGTTCGCCTCCTGCGCTCCGCACCTCCCCGGGAAACTCCCCCCTCCCTCCGGAGGTGTGTCCTGGACGCTCGTAACTTTACACCCCGCAGGAAAAACTTTGCGGCACAGCCCGGACGCAGGCCGTCACCCGACGGCGACCTCAGCCCAGCTGCCCTGCTGGGAGGTTAAAATGAGAGAGAAAAATAAGTTTTTAAATCGGATTAGTAACGAGCGAAAAACAATTGATACGGAAATGTTTCATGCGTAAATAGAAAACGAGCCGTTCTGACCCTGACGATATAAACTCTAATATAGAAACCTGTCTAACGGCTTTGCGTTTGGATGGACCAGAACTTTTGGCTTTTCAATGTTTTACTGAGTAAGAAAAAAATGTCGATGCCACTTCCAGAATCCGTCCAACAGGTGGTAGCAAAATACCTTCTTGTTTCGCTGAAAAGACATTCCAGGAAAAGCTGCATTTGACTGAAGACGACGAGGCACGGACACAAAGAAACTATTCCGAGGGAAATAATATTTTAGAAATAATACAAGGACAGGATAAACTATTAAAAGGGACAAAGATGAAGAAACAGGAGAGTAAAATAAAAAAGCCCAAAGGTTAGGTCGTGTTTTCTGATAGATAATCTCGTTTTTTGCACATTTTCTAGCGAGCATCTTTAATAGAAATCCAGCAGATGACTGTATGCCCCCCTCCCCCCTCCTTGTTTCCACGCAGCCTTCCTCTTCTTGTAACTCTGCTTATCCAAGCGTTTTTTTTGTTTTTTTTTGGTTCCTAATCACTTGAAACCGCACTGCAGCTTTAATGAAGCGTTTTCCTGTGGCCCACCACTGGTAGGGAGCAAACTGCCACAGGAAATTACCATGGCTGTCACCTCAGCACCAGCCCAGAGCCCGGCCCTCTCCCCAGCCAGGCTGTCAGGCTCCGGAGAAGAGAGTGCTTTCAGGCTCTTCTTCTATGTATGTATTCCTCTGTGGGTGTGTGTGCGTGCGTGCGTGTGTGTGTTTGTGTTGCGGGCTGCCAGCTGCCACGATGGCTATTCACAAAACTCCACATCGCCCGCTAACACAGCATCCCTTTGTGGACTTGGAGACAGCACAAAATCACCTTCAGTTTGGAGTGATTCATCTACTGTGAGCGGCCAGCTCTGAGGGTCACTCAGACCATTCTGCTCAGGATGACTCAGAAACCCAGGAAGCGCTGAAAGAGGGAGAGCAGGCGACAGTGCTGGATGGAAAACCTTCTCTGTCTGCACTTCTGATTTAAAACCACGTAGCATGGCCATCTCCTCTTAAAAAAAATGGCCCAAACCCTGATTTTCTATCTGTGCCTTCCCAGCAGTAAATTATTTCCTCTTCCCTCCTCAGCTGTGGCCCCTCAGAGACAAGCGCCCGGAGCAATGATTGATATTTCCAGCGGGGTCCAGAGCAGCGGCCGCCTCGTTAGCGGGGACACACACTGTGTCACAGTTCCTCCTCAGGCCCGCTCGGTCCGGCCGCCTTTCACCGGGGAATGAGTGGCCTCCTCTCCTCTCCTCTCTTTGATGTTATCCGTCTGAAACAGCTCAAAGCTTCGACGTTCTTCGTCTCAGTCAGGGCAAATGAAGTCGTCGCACTTATTAAAGCGGATTTGTGTCTCAGAGGGATACTGATGATAGGAGGAACGCTGTTACTTTAATGCTTTACTTTGTCAAGACGGACATTTCCACCACTGACCTTCCAATTTGTGGATGTTTAATGTACCCAATGAGCTTTGATTGTTTGGTTCTTTATCTGTTTATTCATTCACTTTCAATTCATTTGAGTTTTTGAGCCTATAAATATATGTACATCACAAACTGTATTGCTCTCAAGAGCAAAGAACCTCAGGCTTCACTTATGTTGAAAACAGTTGAAACCTTTGGACATTTTCAGCTTTGTTGGAAATGAACTGCAATGATGAGATGTACTTTACCCAATGTCCAGTCTTGAATGTGTCACGTGTGGGGGAATTTTAGGTGTTTTTGTCCTGTCTCCATGTTGTCTCGTCACGTGGTTTATTTTGAAAGGTTCATCCCCTTGTGTCAGGCCACTGGCACTCCCCTGTGTGTCACATGTCACATCACCTTTTGTGTACTCCTGGGGTTCCCTTCCCTCATGTGTTTGAATAGTTTTCGTTTCCCCTGGTCTTATGCCAGTGTGATCCGTTTACGACCTAACTGTGCAGCCTTCTTGTCTTGAAGCATATCCCTTGCCTTTGACCCCTAGTTGCCTCTCGAGTGCCTTGTTGAGTTTTTGTCTCCTAGCGATTGTGCATCCTAGTGAGTATTATTTTGTTACTTTGTACCTCGTCTTTTTGTCATCGTTCGCAAGTGATTTTGATTTAGTACTTTATTCATAGTCTTATTTACTTCATTTGATACTTTGTTCATAGTTTTGTCTGCCTTGTTTGAACTTTCTGGTCATCCACTCCTTTTGCGTGCGTTTTTGGTTCAATAAAACCATATTTGAAACGCATCTCGGCATCTGGGTCCTGCTTTGAGTACCATTTCTGACAAAATGTGTGATACCATTCCAGTGTTACCTTTTACAGTGTATTCGCAGAGCACCAGTGTGTTCTTTTTGCATTTGGAAGTTTTTAGGTTTTGGAATTTTTCCTCTTTTGAAGCTGAATGATACGGTGTTGTTGTTCACCATCTCAGTTTTAGACAGCTCATAAAAGACTGCTCATAACCAAAGCTTTGGAGTCTTGTATAAACAAGACTCCAGTTTTATTTCATAAAATAGTCACATCTCGGCAACAACAGCATTGTTGACCTGTTGTCAGTTCAATAAATCTGAACAAAGATAACTCCCCTCAGACTTCTTTTACATAGTTATTTCCCCACTGGGTCATTTTAGGAGAGCTTTATCTGTTTCCTGACTACACTGATCATCTATCAGGACCAGTGGGGTTTTTTTTAAAATCTCATTGGACCTCATGATGCCTGACTTGAATGATGTCCCTCCGTGTTATCAGCAGCTGGAAGTCCCCATTAAGTCTCTTTAATTGAGCCGGGCTTCCGGGTCCTGTCGGTGGGTACTGATGGGGTCTGAGCGGCAGGTGGAGCTCCTTAACGAACCGGCTGACCGGGAGTGGACGCAAAAAACCTCTCCGGCTCCAGCACCGCGGCCGGTTGGACAGCGACCCCCCCCCCCCGGGAGCGACCTCAGCATCACCGCGGCCCAGCCAATCAGCGGCGGGCTCGGGCAGATTAACCCACGCGGCGCCGGGGCTGCTCCGTAGTACCGGAGCCAGACCGCGAGCCTCATCCTCGTGGACTCGAAGCGCGAGATTAGCTGCTCGGTTGATCATATAAAAAAATGATACCAAACTGATACCGATTTTGGAGAAAGACCCCAAAAAAAAAAGCAAAGGCGAATCAGGAGGAAGATGGATTCTTGCTCGATAATAAGAGAAAGCACGGATGCGATTATGATGGATGACTCTCCCGAAGATGAAGGGGACGTTCAGCAGGCTTGCCAAAGGTTGGTTGCTGTTGTTGAGTGGATTTCTCAATAGGTTCCCATGGCCAACTAAAAGAAGATGAACGGCATTCACTCTCAACGGTGCATTGAATATCAATAAGCAGCCAGTCTGCTGCTGCTCAGACTCATCTCTACATACAACCTAGAGTCTCAGCTATTGCTATTTACCAGTTCTAAGCACCCTTATTTCAGTATTAGATCTGTATGATTACTTGATTATGTTTGGCTCGTGTGTTTGCTGATGCTGGAAACAGAAAATGACCCAGAGAGGTTGTCAGTTGACTTTATGAATTTGTGTTTCGGAATCAAAGCATGTACAGGTTTAATGGAGTGTAATATACTAGTGTTTAAAAAAAAAAAAAAAAGACTTCAGGGCCGGGCTTTGTGCTGTCCCGTTGATGTAGCGGGCAGCACGGAATCTCTGTGTTGGTCTGACATCCTTCAGTTCTGGTGTCTGGGTTTTTATGTCCCCTGCCGGGTTCTCCACTACCTGCTGACGGGCCGAAAAATAAGAACAAAACACAACCAGTGACAGAGAGGATTCAAAGATTAAAGCCAGACTGGACGCAAGCCAGAGGTGTCCCACTCCACTCAGCAACAGGGCACATCTTTTCATCTCCATGCAGAAGCCCTTCCTGCTTTCTCTACTTTGCAGGCAGAATGTATTTGCCTTCAGAATTAGAGCCTCAGCCTTGGTTAGTGGAGAAGGTTTGCAGTAGGCACACAGCGGGATGTTCTGTGCCGTTCTCCGTGGTGTGTGATTGTCAGTTTGGAAGATTTTTGGCGACATGACACGGACTGGCACTCTGAGGGGCTGACGACAGAGAAGTATGACGGGAAGAAGGAGAAGGAGGGGGTTACAGCCGACAGCCTCACAGAGATGCGCTCACACAGGCTCCCAGTTCAGAAGAACAACGCACTACCAGCATCACGGCCCAGTTTGATGTGCATCCTGATGTCACTGTACGTCCTGTGGTGGGACTAAACTGTCCAAAGATTCATCTAAAACATGAGCAGACATTTAGCAGCGACGTGATCAGAGAAAGGCCATTACTGGAAACTGAGTGCCGATAAAAAAATAAGGAACTTTACACTTTTTTATGGATGGTCTGCCCTTTAGAGAATAAATGTTCCTCTCCTTAAAGACAACACGTGAGGTATCAAGGTGCCACTTGGAGCAGCCTCAGGTGCAGTCGCCCGAAGACCCTTTGGCCTGAGTGATTAATGGACGGCGTGCTCGGCCACCTGAGCTGTGTGTCTAATTCTCTGCCTGCGTCCCCGTTTGCCTCTGGCTGTCAGGAGCAGCCTGGTGACATCTTGCTGGATGTATTTTTGTACTCTGAGCTGCAATATTGATGAACCGCGTGCTCTTTTTCCTTGGTTGTAAAAAAAATTAGGCCTGAGCACGAAACCCCTGTGGTCAGGAGGTAACTTATTACGGACAGACAATAATGCAGTAAGCCGTGGCTCGGAGCTGTGGAAAAGAGGAGTTCATAACGTAGCCTCGGCATGCCTGGTGCTATGCCATGTTGCTTCGGAGACTTAACTAGTTCATATCTTTTGTTATGGAGAGCTGTTTAGCACACTGGGAGCCGTTTATTATTCACGTCTTGCATCGTTATTGTAACGTGAAGGCAAGGCTCTGTGGCTCGGGCCCCTCACCGAGCGCCACCATTACTCAGTGTGTTTCCAATTCAACAGACCGCTCATCATCCGTACCCCTTATTACAGGATGCAAATAAAGCTGTGTGAGGTCAATTAGGCTCTGTTGACTTGCCCTGTTGTCATGGCGATGAGCCAGAGAGGGCGGCTGCATCCAGCCGGCTGTGGAAAAAAAAAACAAGACGCGCGGCAGACAGCGCAGGCGCCTTTCACTGAGGCACAGAAAGAGCGTCAGAAAGTGGGTTCGGGCAGACACTTTTCTGGTCTCTGTCTCGGTAATGTGCGGATCCACACCGGCGCTCCTCAAGGTCTGAGGCAAAAGCGAGCCGGAGCGGTTTGAAGAGAGGGCAGAGAGGGACACTAACCACGTTTTATGCAAGCCCAGTAAAGTGTTTTCATGTTGCAAATGGACAGATTTATTATTCCACCCCACCCCCCCTTCCCAATTGTTATACAAGCCTGTTTTCATAAGAATTGGAGCAGTAAAACTGAATGCTTAAAGAGGTGTGGCAGAGCTGGTGTGGACAGTACACAGGCCTGCGTGCCGGCTTCATTTTTGATTGTGTACTGGTTGTGAGCATGTGTAGAGCCACTATGATAAATAAATAAATGGCCCAACTGCAGCAATGGCCTCTGAGACATCCCATTCTGGTGTTATCAATCCAGGACAGCCACCAATTTGTCTTTGACTTAATGACATGGTTCCAGGCTGCGAAAATTGTCTGCGAATATCTTACTCCTCCCTCCCGGGTTCCATCCTCCTTTCCCCTCCTCTCCGATATAATTGGCTCTATTAACATCGGGAGGCATAGTGTGTTCTCCAGAAATCCATTCTTTGCCTCATTAGTTCTGCTGAGCTGTTCAGTTCTTCCCTGAATATGTGATGAAGCCGAGCCAAGAGCAACAGTCAAGAAGCAGAGCCAGTCGGGGGGGGTTGTGGCTTGAACTTCTGCATCCCTCATGCCTCTGTCCCTGTCACTGCTTCTGTCTGTTCCAGTCACGTCTTCCCCGGCTGTTGTAGGATTGACGTTTTTCATTTCTTCTTCCCCCAGTGAGATCCCGGTGGTTTCTCTGTGCCCTCCCGACAGCTCCGCCGAGGACCGGCCGACAGCCGTCCAGTCCGGAGGGGAGCTGTGCGACAGCTGCAGCAGCCTTGGCAAACCCTCCTCCTCCTTCCAGCTTTATCACCAAGTACGCCTTAGTGCTGACGCAGATATAAAGAGGGCCCTTGAATTAGGAGCTGGGTTTGCGAGCCCGGGTGTAGTTATTGCTCTCCTCAAATGTTACACAGAGAATAAAGCACGCCGTGTAACGTCTTTTTTTTTCTCCCCCAGGTGCCCCAGGGCCTGGAGGCCGGAGCCTACGACTCGCCGGCGCTCCGGACGTGTCCCCACTGCCGGCGCCAGAGGCCGGCCGAGCCCACCGCCCGGCGCCACTGTCGCCCCGACGCGGCCAGCCCCCGCGCCGAGGGCGGCGGGGCGGGGAGGGCGGGCCGCAGCTGCAGCTCTGGCCGGCCGGCGCCCTGCCCCGCCGCCGTCAGATGTCACTGGCTGCACGGCTCCAACGAGGGCAGCACGCAGAAACCCAAGCAGCGGCACGTGGTGACGGTGCGGTGAGTTTCAGAGAATGGGCCCCTGATGTCCCAACCACTGGGGCAGACTGCACCTCACAGCAAGAGGGGTTCTGGGGTTGAGTCCTCCGGGGGAACCAGGATCTTTCTGTGTACATGTTCTCCCTGTGTCTGCGTGGGTTCTCTCCGGGTTCTCCGGCTTCCTCCCACTGTCCAAAAACCTGCATGTTAGGTTAATTGGACATTCTAAACTGCCCTTAGGGGGTAGTGTGCACGGTTGTTGGTCCTTGTGTGTCTCTGTGTGGCCCCTGCGATGGACTGGCGGACCGTCCAGGGTGACCCCGCCTCCTGCCCATTGACCACTGGGATAGGCTCCAGTACCCCCCGAGACCCCATTAGGGAATAAGCGGTTACGATAATGGATGGATGGATGAAATCAGAGCAGCTTAAAACAAACTGCATTTGAAAGAAGTAAAAAAAGTCCAACCTCCTGACTGTTCTGGAATGAGGTGTGTTAATCCGGAGTGTTTGTCACAGACTGTTTTGCTCGTGGAGTGAGCAGTGCTTCTCAGCTCAGTTTCGGTATGGGCTCATGAAACATGATGTGATGCGCTGTGAGCTTTAGTGATGCTGGCCGCTGGCTTTTGTGACATTCTAATAAAGTCAGGCTGCCTGTGTCCTCCTGGTACTCGTTCTAATTCAAGCTCATTGTCTTCTGGCGATGTGCTGTGTTGCATCACGTTTAACGTCATCAGTCGTGGCAGGAAGATTTCAGCAAATTGTTTCTTTAAACATAATAGGCCTTATTTAAAGCCTTTATAATTGAGACAGTTTTCTCTTTTTGGCAGAAATGGGGGTCTTTACTGCATCCTTAGAAGGTAAGTAAAGAAAATCCCACTCAATTTCCATTAAATATTTAAAATAACAATTCCAATCAATGTTTGTCTCTGACCGCCTCTCCTTTGCTGGTTTCCTGTGTGGCAGTTACTCCCAGATGATAGTGGACTATCCGCTGGTGGTCCTGCTGAATGGGGCCCTTTTATTGCTGGGGTGCTCACTGGCTGGTTTGTTCATCAGCCCCCTTCCAGACTTCTCAGATCCACTGCTGGTAAAAAAACACACTAACACACACGCAGACATAATCTTAATCTAAAACTTGGTGGTTGTGCTAAATGATAGCCTTTCCATTTTTTTTTTTGTCTTATTAGAAAAAAAAACTATAAGAAATCTTAACATCACTTGCTGTTTCTCTCTTGTCACTTTCACTTACGGCATTAGATGGAGTGGTAATTGCTGTTTTCTTAGTGACAGTTGGACTCAGCTGCAGCCAGTTTTCCTGAGTCTAATCTAACATTCATGCTGATTTGGATCCCAATCACTGTCATCTTAATTAGACTAACCCCTCACCTTCCAAATGTGTGATTTTAGACTAAAGTTTGATTAAGAAATTACACCCAAAAAATCACTGTGAAGTCGCTTTCTGTCTGTAAAAGTCAGAAACCAAACGAGAAAATGCAGATTACCCTTTGAGGGCAGGTCAGACAACATCACCAACAACAATGACCATCACAGACGCTGCCTGTGATGGTGATTACAGAAGGATCAGTGTGGAATTTTTGGGTTGTCTATTTGTGTGTGTCTCTGGTAACGTGTGCTCTCTGTCCTCAGGGGTTTGAGCCGCGGGGGACATACATCGGAGTTCGCCTGTCCAGCTTGCTCAAGCTGCAGGAGAACACGGGGCCAGGGAAAACTCTGTCCCCTTTACCCCAGCAGCTCAGTAAAAGGTCAGCAGTGTTTCAGAACTACTCAGAGTGGCGATGAGGAGGCCTCTGAAGGTTAAAAAAATTAGCAGAAAATCTTTCACTGTTGAGTTTATAGCTTTTAGCACTGCCCTCAGGTGGCCAGAACATATATATCCTCTATTTGTGGATTTTTATTCGCATATGTTTCTAACAAAATACACGTAATTTACAAAGCTGTAGTCTTTCATGAAGTTCAGTGTGTGTGCTTGTACCTGTGCTGGCTCTGTGGGTGCTGGCAGCAGAGACAGTAACGGGAGTCAAGACGCCTCCAGAGGACGTTTTAGGAGGATGCTGGCCACCGATTCCTCTATAGACAACTTCCTTTGTGATGCCCCAGGTGAGTTATTCCTGATCCGTTCAACTCTTTTAGAGGAAAAAGTGTTTGTATACTATTCAGTAAAATACTTGTAATTTGATAACTGGGATGATTCTTAAAATCAGTTCAGCAGTTACACAATGTTTTTTTAACCTGTTGGAAACAGGTAAAATCCTACAACCCTACAAGCTCCCTGAAAAATCTATAAAAGTATGGCTTTGTGGGCTCCTTCTAAAATGCAGAAACCTGCTAAATGCAGTTAAAAATATTTAAAGACTGTAAGATTTCACTGAAGAAGGAACATTTCGTTTCCACAATGATTATTGTCGTTGCCTCCTGTCATCTTTAAGCCATTATACCAGAATTTTTGACAATACTTGAACATTTGACCATTTCTATCAATCTGATGACTCAGTGCTTGTCATCTTGTTCTTGTGCACTGAATCCATCTGCCTCTTCTCATGCAGGAGAGCATTTGGCCCAGCTGGTGTTTCGATCAGAAAATTCTGCCAGTCTCTGGAGCCTGAAAGCCATCCATGCCATGTGTGAGATGGAACAATCCAGGGTTCGCACTCATTCTTGACCTTCCATATTGATACAGTGACTGTTCATCAAACTTCTCACAGACTCTCGTGGTTTAAGAAGTGGGCTCAGGTTAAAAAAAGCCCTTTCTCTTGTATGAATAAGATTCACTCCCAGGCCCGGTTCCAGGAGCTGTGTCAGCAGCACGTGAGGGTGGAAGCCGAGGGAGCGTCCAGAGGCAGCTGTTGTCCGAGCTGGTCTCTGGGAAATTACTTGGCTGTCCTCTCCAATGCCTCCTGCTGCCTGAGCCTCACCTCACAGCAGGTACTGCAGCCCTTCTCCTCGTCTGACAAATGAAATACGAGCGTGCTAGATCAGATGGTAGCTGTGAACACAGGTCTTCTGTGGGTCACACACTGAGTGGGTCATTTCGTCAGGTGTCAGAACTGTTCATGTCCAAGCAACAAAATTCATTATTGACTTTGGAAATATTAGCCTGTTTTAAGGAACCTGGCCTCAGTTCCAGTAAACCAGACCCCGCTGATGTGGTGCTTCTTTTGCCTTTGCCACCTGTTCTTTCAATAAATTGGCCAATTTTGTCAAAGCAGTTTGTTCAAGACAAGCTGTCTTTCCTTTCCTGATCTTAGCCGAAGAGGCCAAAACGAAACGAAAGTCCTATGGCTTGTTCCGACGTCACCTTTCATTCTTCTTAGGGGACATGTTCTGGGGAGTCCATTTTTCGTCCGGAGCATCTATTAAATGTAAAGCTACCAACCGTGGCTCCATGATGAAATTCACCTTCCAACATACATCTGGCTCCGTTATGACTGGAGACACCCCGTTTTCAGGGTGTCGCTTAAAAATAATTTGTCAAAGTTTCCGGTTTCTCTGAGATTGTAGCAGGATGTCCCTTATAATCTATTCCTGACACAATGAACGCTTTACCACTCTGTTATTATACGACCACCACAAACATATGTAGAGTATTAATCCGTGAACATGCAAAGCAGTCATGGAGGCTGAAGTGGAGGTAAAGAAAAGACGGAAACCTTAGTTAGAAATGTTATTAATACCATTTAATTTTTTTAGGAAAAGGATACTGTCACACTGCTTAATGAACACAGCACAGTAGACAATGATACATTAATGCAGTTTCATTAGGTTTTACGCTAAATGTTTTAAATGGGACACAAATGTTTTTTTCTGCTTTGACAAATTTGGCAGGTCATTAGAGCCGTTAGCTTACAAAAAGCTTTTATTATTACCAAGCTCAACTGTAGAGTTTAATTCCTATCATTTCTCTTTCTCACCAGGTTTCCGAATCTTTAAATCTTCTCCGGAAATGCGCTCTCTACTATCACGAAGGACATCTAGTGGAGGCCTGTGCTGAGAGACCCAAATATGGCAGCTGTTCCTCTGTTCCAACACGCTGCAAGCAATCCCGTGTGGTTTTCCAAATCCTGCACTTCCTGGTGGACAAAGACTTTCTTGGCCCGCAGACAGTCGAATACCAGATCCCAACATTGAAATATAGCCTTCTCTTCCTCCCTGTCAAAAAAGGAGAACACATGATGGAGATATACATGAACAGCCTTGAGGGCAGGGGTCTGACCCACAATAATACAACAATCACTGGCATAGACTTTGGGATTAAGAAGACTCTTTTCAAATATTATCTGGCCAGAGATTCGGTGTTCCCCGTCCTGGCTGTTGTGTCTCTTCTGGTCACTATGGCCCTGTACCTCCACTCTTTCCTCATTGTGGTATTATCTGTGCTTGCAGTCACAGGTTCACTTCTAACCTCCTATTTCTTCTACAAAGTAGCGTTTCGCCTCACTTTCTTCCCCATGGTCAACCTCTCGGCAGCGCTCATTCTCTTGGGAAGTTGCTCCAATCAGGTCTTCATCTTTGCCGACTTCTGGAATCTGCAGCTCACACAGAACCCGTCCGCCTCCCTGGAGAAGAGAGTAAACAGAGCTTTGCAGGAAGTTGGCTATTTGATATTAGCCTCCGGGCTGACCTCCAGTGCGGTCTTTTTCTCAGGCTATCTCAGCAGCATCACAGCGATCAGATGCTTCTCTGTTTATCTGGGAACTGCTTCCTTCATCAGCTCCCTGTTTGCGTTGGTGTGGCTGCCGTGCTCGTTCATCTTGCGCGAGCGCTACAGGAAGACGCCCTCCGCCTCTGTGGCGGTGCAGGGATGGAAGCCCTGCTGCTCCAAAAACGCCGGGGGCTTCTGGGATACCAGCTCGCGGAGAAGATGCCTCTTCAGCTTCATGCAGAAGCTCAGAGAGCTAAAACGGGGTCTCGCCGACACCTCCAATTTATTGTTTCTGAAGATCCTGCCGTGTGGAGTGGTGAAGTTTCGGTACATCTGGGTGTGCTGGTTTGCCGTGCTGGCAGCCGGCGGTACCTACATGTCCTGTGTCGACCCGGGCATGAAGCTGCCCACTCTTGACAGCCAGGTCGCCCAGCTTTTTCGCTCCAGTCACCCATTTGAAAGATACGATGCAGAGTATCGCCACATGTTCATGTTTGAGAGGCAGAGGAATGGAGAGGACACCCCTGTCACATTAACGCTTGTTTGGGGAGTCAAACCGACAGATAATGGGGACCACTTCAACCCAAGGAGCAATGGTTCTTTAGTTCTTGATGCTGACTTTAGCATGAGTCACCCGGAGGCTCAGGTTTGGTTGCGGGACCTCTGCGGAAGGGTGCAGAACCAAAGCTTCTATTCCCCTCCATTGCCCGAGGACAAAGACCTAATGACAAATAATATCTGTCTGGTGGAGCAGCTGGTGCGCTGGGTGTCTGTCAGACGCTGCTCCGAAAGTGATGACGCTTTTCATTTCTGCTGCAACGACATCCCCTTCCCCTACCCTCCCAGCATTTTTGAAAACTGCCTGAGCATGATGCTGGCGGAGAAGCATGCCGAGGGCCATCTGGCTAACAGCGGAGGCCCGTACTTCCAGCCAGATGGCAGGGTGGCTGCCCTCGTGCTGGCATTCAGAACCACGTACCTCTACAGCTTCAACTTCAGCAGGACCAGCGTCTTTTACAGACAAATCCTGACGTGGTTTAACAAAGAAATATCCAACGCACCTCCAGGGCTGGAGAACGGCTGGTTCATCAGCCAGCTCTCTCTTTTCGACCTGCAACAGTCTTTGAGTTCGGAAACTCTGGTTGTGGCCGGCTTCTCCACAGCGCTCGCTTTAGTTTTGTTTCTCTTAACGACCTGGAACATTCCACTGAGTTTATATGCCACCGTCGCCGTGGGAGGAAGTGTCTTTGTCACCGTTGGCCTCCTAGTTCTCCTTGAATGGGAGCTGAGTGGCATCGAGGCCCTGTTCATATCATCCGCTGCGGGGTTGTCTGTTGACTTCATTGCGAACTACTGCATATCCTACAGCTCAGCTCCCCATTCGGACAAAATAGGAAAAGTTGCACACTCCACTAAAAGAATGGGCTGTCCTGTGGCAATAGTTTCTAGCGCGTTTTTCTTCATGGGGATCGTCATGCTGCCCGCCACAGCCCTACATTTCAGAAGGCTTGGGATTTTTTTGTTTTTGGTCAAGTGTGTCGCTTGTGGATTCGCAACCTTTTTTTTCCAATCTCTGTGCTGCTTCTTTGGGCCGCAGAAGAACTGCGGAGTGATTTCTCTGCCATGTTTTGCAGAGCAGGCAGATGGCATGCTGGCCTCTTGCTCCGAGCCCGGAGCCTCGTCGGCCTCCGCTGCTAACGGGGCCTTTGGCCAGTCCAGACTGAGGAGGAGCTATGACAAAGAGGCGGGTGGTTTTCTCTGTCCCAACCATCAGCATCCTCACAGGCAGAGGGAGGGGGGAGGTGGTCTGGGCCGAAGGGCGGAGCAGTACGAGCTGCAGCCGTTGGCTTACCGCCTCAGCGACAGCTTCGAGAACAGCACCTGCACCAGCAAACTGTCCAACCGGCCCTCGGTGCTCTCCGATGAGATCGAGTACTGTGGCGGGGATGCGGACAAAGACGGCATGGACAGGGAGGGTGAAGAGAGATGCCAGCCGCCAGCCTTCCAGACCTCATCGCCCTACAGAGAAAACACCCAACATCCAGCACATCCAGACGCGGCTAGAGACAAGGTGCTTTGTAAAAGCTGCCGGGGACAGTCGGACATTGTGAAGCAATGGAGCAACACTTCCTGCTCCTCCTCGTCAAGCATCGAGGACACCATCATCAACCACACACTGGAGACCGCCGACGATCCTTCTCACTTCAAAGATGAAAATAGCTCAACGGAAGGTCAGTATGATCACAGAGGACACCCCTGCTCCTACTCCCAAAGCTCCGGCGAGGGTCTGGAGGATTCCTGCGAGACATGCCTCAGTGACGTCGAGGCAGGGCCGTCGAATTCGCAGCCACAGGATGGAGACTCGGAGGTTCAGCTACGGCCGGGACACCTCAACGGGAAGAGGGATACCCTCCGGCTGTCCCTGAAGGAAACGATGTACGAATCCTGCGCCAAGGACCGCACCAGCCGGAGCGAAGAGGTGGTGATTTTACCCAACAGTAAGCCAGACCTGCCAGACGTTTGGATAAAGCGAGGTGGGCAACGGGAGGACGCATGCTGAGCGGTGCTGCCGGCAGCGCTCTGCAACCGCTGCGGATTATTGCTTTTATTTTTATGGGGGAAAATAAATCTGTTTATTTATCGAAGCAAATATAAAGGACAAAAATCAGCAGACAATGTTATGTTTGTGTAATACTCGAGGGGAAATTCAAGCCAACTGCAAACTTCCCGCGTGGCAGCATGTTTGTCACTGTTTGTTGAAGTTGTTTTAGTGTCTGTTAGCCATCAGGTCAGAGCATGAGCGCTTCATCTGGAAAAGGTCAAATCAGAGCACGACTCGCTTACCCCGCAGAGGATACTGAAAGGTTCACGCCTGTTGCCACTTCAAGTCATCCCTTCTGAACCATCATTAGCCACACTGGCAGAGTTAAATTTTGTGAGTGGGACTTTCAGAAGAATCACTGTGAACTGCGTGCATCATGCTGAACAGACCCATTTAAGCCGTACATACCCACGGACTTTGGTCATTCCATGTTTATTTGCTATCCTCATTTAACCTTACGGATTTACTTGAGTTAAACAAACGCTACAGGAAATCCTAACGCTCTTCTCCAGATATTTCTTAAAATACGGGACTTTCAAGTTTTGCTGTAGAGGCAACACAGAAATATTTCTGATAAGAATTAATTGGAAGCTTCCCCAGCTACTTATTTTCAAGTGATTTAAAAAAAAATACTTGCATAAAAAATATCTTAGTTAATCTTTTCCTGCTATTTCTTTTTTCTAGGTTAACAAATTATTTTTTATTTATTTTCACATTTTCCTTTCTTGCTGCCAATTATTGTTTCAGTCTAACATTGACACCTTTCTTTCATATCAAGACGTTTTTGGGGATATATGTCATGTCAAAACTCTAAATCAACCTTTATTATTATTTATTTATTCATTGAAGATATACTTTGCCATATCTGACCTTCATGTGTTTTTGGAAAAGTTCATTATATATTATGATATTGCCAAAGATGTGTGTGTATATATATATACATATACACATACATATATGAGTTTGTGTGGTTGTTTGTCTCTGTGTAGCCCTGTGATGGACTAGCGACCTGTCCAGGGTGTACACTGCCCGTTGTCAGCTGGGATAGGCTCCAGCCTCTACATACAGTAAACAGTACATACAGTATATATTAAGGCAGACTTCAATGCAAATTTGAACTCAATCCAGTGAAAAATGAATGATTGGGGAAGTGTGAAGCCTAAAGAACTACAAAGGTTGTCAAATTTAGTCAATATGCAATGAATATTCACTGTAGCTTTAGGATTTTCTAAACTCCCTCGGATGTTGGCAATAATTAACCAAATCTTTCAAGGAAAAAAAAAAGCCAAACAGAAAAATGTGTGTGAGGTGCCGGATGAAGTTGACATGCATGGATCAGACAGTATCACGTCCAGATAAGGCTACAGGCAGCTTGTTTCTTCACTCAGCTGCGATCATGTGTTCAGTGTGGCTTCTGTGACCATGTCCTAGAAAATCAGAAACTTGCAGCTAGCTGCAGGGTGTAATTTGTGGTTACAGGCGGTATTTTGTTCCCTTTCATCTTACTGTTGAGTTGAAAGACAAGTAGTTTCATTTCTGTATCAGTGCTAAAGCGTGTAATGTTTACTCACTGTATGCTGGTTCAAAAGGGCAAAAAGGGTTTTTGTAAAACAGATAAAACACTGTGCTTTTCCACATTTGGTGCACTTGACTCCATAATCAAGGATGTCAGAGTACGCCTTGGTCTTTGGGGGAAAAGAAACCGCTTTAATTAATGTTGCGAACATCAGAATTGTAACATTCCACGCATCCGCATCAAACAGCATTTTAAGGAAATATTGTAAACAAAATGTTCTGCCTGGTTTTTCACACATGCACTGCAGCCCTGAGATTTCCACTAGAAGCTGCAAACAGGAACACAAACGTCCACGGGACTTAGTTCAGCCTGCGAGTACCACATCTGGAAAGCGTCTGGATGAGTGTGTGAACAGGGCGGACCGTTTCACCGAGAGCCCTTGATGGCCTCCGGCTGTTTCATAAATACACGAATCAACACAGAACCAGTCATTATGAACAGCTCTGTGGTTTGTTCACCATACTTTTTATGTGCTATAAACAAAAACCCTCTTGAGTTCTGACGTGTAGCTTCTGCAGCTCATCCGAAAAAAAGCTCTGGATCTTTCTTCCATGTAAGGAGAAGTCGTCGGCCCGGGGACGACGCCCCCTCTCGTGGATGGAAGAGAGGGCAGCTGTAGCTTTGCGGGCCTTTCTTCACACTCCATCCAGGAGACGTCTCAATATCTCTCTGCATGTGCCAAATGTCTTTCAGTCGGTCGCTTCTTCTGCTTAGAGAGTGTTTTGTGCAAAGTTAAACAACAAAAAAAAGATATATTTATGGTCCTTTGTGTGGTGTCTGATATAAAACTTAGAGGTGTTGAGGTGTCGGTGATGGTGGTTTAGTTTGAAGACCTTGATGATAGTCAAAAGAAGTGTGCCTAAGAACTTTTATGTTGAAAAGGGTGGTCGCAAATGATGGCTGAGCCCTCAGCAGATGAAGCTGCCTTACAGATGTAAAGAAGTCATTCATGACTTTCTCCCATCACAAAAGAAATGGAAAGGGCACCATCATTATTATACACGGCTGTCATTATTGTTAAACTTGAACAAAACTGAAATAAAACGTTTATTTTCCGGTCTTTTAATTAATTTGAAGTCTTTCCTGACAGTTTGCCGGCGGTGCCGATTCAACCCAAAGAAAAGAGCCTTTAAAAGCAGAACGGGAAGGAATCCAGAACGCTATAAAAAGGCTTTACAGCAGCAAAACAGAGCATGACGGCATGTCGCACCACCTTCGGGGGATTTAAAGACCAAGTGTTCAGACAGAAAATAACTAAATAAAATCAGAAAGCCTTTAAAAACCCCCCAAAAAAAAAACAAAAAGGATCCCTGCTCAAACATGTCGGCTCAGCACCAATCAGCCTCCACCCAGTCCTCTTTGGCCCAGTCAGGCAGACGTGTGGAGTATTCAAAGTCGGGCCCTTTGTAGCGCAGGGCGTGCAGATACATGATGAGCTCCTTCTCGGTGGGGTCCGGACGCAGCAGCTTGCACTCGCTGCAGAGGTGGTCCCGAGGGCCTGAGGGAGCCTCGTGGGTGGAGTCAACCGCTTTGTTTTGATCCGCCTTCGAGTTGGCTGGCGGAGAGATTTCGGAATCTTTGAGTAAATCGTCATTTGTTTTAACGTCCACCCTCTTCGTGCCGTCGCCATCACAGCTTTCTCCCCCCCTGGCAGGCTCAGAGGGAGCGTCCGGATTGTCCATTTGATCACATTTCTCCTTTTTCTCGTCCTCGACCCCAACGCCGCCGTCCGTAAAGTCTGCCATGTGCACATTTTCCTGAGAGCGATGCTCTTCTTCTAAGGCCTTGAGCAGATCCCCGTCGCTCTTCCCCACGAGCCCCCCCTTCCCTCGGTGGGGGCCCCAGGCGGAGGAGCCGTAGATGGGGTCGTTGAGGATGGGAAAGCCCAGGTACTGGAGGTGAACCCTGATCTGGTGCGTGCGGCCGGTCAGCGGCAAACAGCGGACCACGCTCGTTTTCCCGTTAAAGCTGAGCCGCTGAAAAACGGTTCGGCACTCCTTCCCTTTCGGGTCAACGCGGCAGAGGCCGATTTTGAAGGAAACAACCAGGATGGGCTCCTCACAGACCATCTCCCCCTCAGGAAACTCGCCCTCCACTCGGCACACATACTCTTTTTCCAGCTGGAAATGTCACAAAAAGACGTTACTAAGTCTCACAGGAGGCAGATGTTCAAAAGAACCAAACCATTCTGAACGCACCTGTCTGTCTCTGACCATCTGGTCCAGTTTCTGGGATGTCCCCAGCGTCCTGGCAAACAGCAGGACTCCAGAGGTGAGCCTGTCCAGCCGGTGGACCGTGTGCAGCTCGGAGATGCCCCGCTCTTTACCCAGAATGAAAATCACCGTGTTGTGGCGGAAGCGACCGCAGGGGTGGACGGGGATGGACGCAGGCTTGTCCACCACCAGGACCTCCCCGTCGTCCACCAGAACCTGCAGCGGAGCGGCGACCACGGGTGGCTCGTGGCGATGGACGGTGTTCTTCATGAGGTCGTTATCCTGTGAGGGGTGAGCGGAGCGTTACACTTCTGGAGTAACTTTGTAGATCGGAAGCTGATGTCTTCCCTCTCTTACTGAGAACAGCTTTTTAGACAAAATCTTAGCAAAAATAAAGCTTTATTTATTTTCAGTCGTTTTCTATGTTCTCTTAAAACTCGGGGAAATCACATGCATCCTTGTTACACACAGCTGAAAAGCCAAAAAGCCCTCACCCTGAGCACCACGGACAGGTCCTCCACCGGGGTGTCGTTGAGCCGGATGCGCCCCTCTTTGGCCGCCTTCTGGTAGTACTCTATCGACTCCGCTCGGAACTCGTTCTGAAACACTTCCAGCAGGCTCTTGCCGATCCAGCGACCTTTGCAGTAGGTTTTAAAATCGAAGTAATACGGGCGCACCTTCCGCAGCCCGCCCTCGAAGAAGTAGGAGGTCTCGTCGAAGTGCTCCCGGCAGAAGCTGACCCCCGGGTTGCGCTTCTGCGGCGGCGGGACGTACCTCTCCCCCGGGCCGAGCTTTTTCCCTCCGGCCCCGCGCCGCCTCTTCCCCCTGCCGCTCCTCTCCACCCCGTCCGGCTCGTCGCTTTTGCGTTTACCGGGTTTTGTTGCCTCTACTGGCGTTGTTGCCTCCGCTGACAACTGAGTGTCGACGTCGGCCGACTTTTCCGTGGCCGTAACAACTTGCTCCATATTCTGCGGACACCGCAGATAATTAGAAGTTCCGCCCACGAATCGATTTACGGAAGAAAGCCAAACAATGCGAGCTACACGCCGTCGAAGTTCCGCTTTGTCAAGTAAAACAGACAGTAAACTCCTACCAGACAAACTCACGTGCATTGCTCTGCCAAAACAAGGGGTCCTAGTCGGACAGGGCCCGGAGTGATGACGTCAAAATGTAGTCCCGAGGGTGTAATTTGTAGTTTCTCAGTCTGAACTCAGCCAGCCCCACGCTTATAACTGGATTTTTTTCTTTTTGTTGCTATAATCATACATTATAAATCTTTGCATGAATCCCAAAACAAAGGAAAACGTATTTTCCTTTTCTCTATAAATGTATAGCTGTTTGTTTTTTAATATGTTATCAGTTCGGATGAAAATCATCTTTGCTTCGTTTCCAATAACTTCCTGGCACAAACTTATTAATTATAAGAATTATGACAATAGACTGGATACTATTTTTTATTCATAAATCTGATTTTCACACACATTTACAATATTTTCATGTTTTACAAATTGGCACATCTTTCCCCTTTTAAGCAAGATACATTCTTAACTTACGATTGAAAGAAAGCCAGACGTGATCTTTTTAGAAAAGCTAATTTCCCTTTGTTAAGTTGCTAGAATATTTTTTTTTTAAAGTTGTTTTTACCTGGGTTAGTCTTCATGTGTTTATCTGCAAATCTTACACTGAACTAGCACCTAAACAAGCATCCATAACGATACTTTTTCAGATTTCATAGGCGTTTGCTAAACAACTCAAACTTCTCCATGAAAAACACACATAACTCCTTTGTTTACAGAAATGGGAACAGGGTAAGCAGCCAGCTGGTGGTTATTTATTCATTCATTGTTCTAGTTCTCTAGGTCGACTGCCTGTTTAAACCAACTGAACAAGATCCTCCAGGTATGTTGCTAGGAGTCAACTCAGTGGGGCAGGTGGTTACGAGCTTGGTGAGGACACGATGAGGACTACAAAGCCCCGGAGACACAGCACCAGCTCCACCTCCTGCAGAGGCAACCACACTGCAGTCAGAGCTCATCTCTGGGGAAACAAAGGAGAGCAAATGGAAGTGATTCTTCACTATTTGATTCAGGAGTTGAAGGTTCAGGTTGTTTTCTTACCCTGGCCACTGGTGCCTCCTGTCAGTCAGAGGGACATAAACCACTCCCATCAGGGCTCTCTTTAGGAAGGTCCCATCACTCTGCCGATCATACTGTTCCAACACCTGACTGCCACCTTCTGGGCCCACTGGGAGGACTAACCGCCCACCTGGCTTCAGCTGCTCCAGCAGCTTCCAAAGGAAAGATATGGATAAGACAGGTGCGACATCTAGTATTCAGGAGCTGTTTCCATCTCAAAGAGTTGTTTTTGATAGATATAGTTGGATAAGATTCCCTTTCTACTGTGTACAAAACAGATAAAGTACAACTCATTATTCCACTCTATTCTCAAAATGATCAAAACTATGTGTGTGCTTGTGTGTGTGTGTGTGTGTGTGTGTGTGTGTGTGTGTGTCCTTACAGCCTTGGGAACAGTAGCTGCAGCCGCACCGACGTGAATGGCATCATATGGTGCTCCTTCTGGATAGCCAAGCCGTCCATCTCCCACTGTAGACAGAGGAGGGTAGAAGAGTTCAGCCACTTATAATACACAAAGTATTTCAGAATGATATCTGATTTTTGCTGTGTCCTGGACTCCTGACTCACCTAAGAGTTTGATTCGTCCAGAAGACAGCAGCTCAGGGTTATCAGCTTGCACGTTTTTTATTGACATTTGCACTAGATCATCAATGTGTTCAATCCCAATGACTCTGCCACTGGGTCCTATCTACACAGACAGGAATAAAACAGCGGTTTTGCTCTATATTTCCTCTGAATGCAAAGGCCAAAACACTCAGTCAGCAGTACGATTTTTAGAAAATACTCTCGAGTGTGTACGAGCTTACCATTCGTGCAAAACAGGCAGTCAGATATCCACTTCCTGAACCTACATCCAGTGCAGACGCCCCTTCTGTTAGTTTGTCACTTAACAGCTCCAAAGCATGTGCGTGCTGTCGGGAACATGCAGATGAGTGAAATATTTACTTCCTCCAAATGAGTCTCAGTGGCGTTAACGGTTCCTTACTCACCATGTGTGGTGCACTTATGGTGGCTCGGTATCCTGTAATAACAACACATCAAAATAATGCACATGTCTGTGTCCATGAAAGAAATAATTACACAACATGGAATGTCGATCAAATTATTTTAACAGTTTGGACACTAGGGTTAGGGTAAGATCAACGAACACCCCAACCCACGGAAATACAACAGACTGAAAAAACCTCGGACACTGGAAACTCAACCACTGCCATGTTTAGCGGATACTTTTAACACTGTCGGTTGATCGTGGTAAACATTTTGACAGTTCCCTGGGAAAATACCTATGGTCTGTGGAGCGTCAGCGTAAGGATAGTCCCTGGAATACAGCCCTCTGTCAGTGGCCAGCATGGCATCGAACACTCTGTCGCTGTGGATCACCCCATGATCTGGAAGAAGGCAAAATGATGCAGAGTGTGTGTGTGGGTCAGTGTTTCATGCATGTTTCTCTCTTCACTTTAGTCCAAACTTTAACTACAGATACAAACACCTAAACATGCTTCTATAGGGGTCTCTGTTACCCCTTAGCCTGCTGATGAGCTCTGGGTGGGTTTTGCCGCTGGACATCCACGCCACGGTCCGGGACAGCAGCACGCCCATGGGGACAGCCACTACTGCCAGGCGCAACGCCGCTCGCATCTCCTCCTACACCGGATCTGCCTGCAGCGACATGACGGGAAACGATCTGGGAACTAGAATATCTTCCATTCAGTACCAAAGAGGATCATCTGGAAGGGGTCAATTTGTCGTTCGAAAATGAAGGTATAATGAACTTGACAATTGGCCAGCGTGCTGCCCCAATTTCATGGTTTACAGCTAACTCGGCAAGATAAGCTTCTGTTATAAATACACACAAAAACAAGTCGCTAACGTGCTCAAATAAACTGTGTTTCATAAATCAAATAATCAAACAGAGGTCAGGAAAGCTTGTTTACCTTGTAGTTGGTCACAGTCCCTTTAATGAACAGCTTCCTGATTCCCTTCCCAGCGAGTCAAGCGCTAGCCAATGAGATGCTGGCTTTTTTCTGTATGGGTGACATGTGTCCAATGATATTAAAATACAGTTTGACTGGCGGGTCAATAGTCCAATAACACGTCCCTAAAAAAGAGGCAATGGTAATTTGTTGTCACAGATCACGGATCATGGACAGTTAGCTGGCAAAGCTAAACTTTTGAACTGCACAATTCAAGGAAAAATAGCCTTTAACGTATCGAGATTATCGCACAGGTAATATGAGTTTCTTACTGCTATAAAGACGACAAACTGTTGTAGAGGTATTTGTAATAGACAACAACAATGCTCCCTAAATGACTATGCTCTCCATCTTAGCTTTACACGCAAATCCAGTTCAGGGGATTTAAAAACATTTTTTATTCCATGTGAGGGAAACTAAATATCTGTCAAGACTGTTTGCTTAAATGCTGTTACGAGAGCAAGATAGTGGGTTAATATAGGCAAGAGTTATGCTAAATAGCTGACCGGAGCTCTGGCATCTGTTGTCCCCAGGATGACTGACGACTTCGGGAGCCAGGAGGCTCGGTCCAGCGGTGAGCTGTGGTCCGAAATCTGCTCCCGTCTGCCGGAGGCGGAGGCCGAGGAGGCTCCGGAGGAGGGCACCGAGTTCACAGACTCCTTCCGTCCGGCGCAGCACAACGGACAAGCTAACGGACATGCTAACGGACATGCTAACGGACAAGCTAACGGGAGCAGCCCCGCTCCGGCCGGCCCGCGCTGGGAGCCCATGGAGGACTCTGAGGTGTACATAGCCTGTCTAGGTATATTTCCCTCTGGACTCTCCCGGGGCGAAGGCCTCCCTGCCTGTCGGTCAGTGGTGGAGAATGTAACAAAGAACCGTCAAACACAAAGAAGAAGTGACCCCATTCCAGGATGAAATACCCCTTTTTAAACATAATTACTAGTGCATAACACCTAAACTCATATCTGTCCTGACATGGCAAAAAGAGCACGCTTGACTCATAAAAACTGAAATGGCATTCAGAATTCAGTCGAGCCAACATTAATTTAAGATTTAGGTCAGATAAAACTAAGCTCCTCGTGCAGTTCTGAGTGCTTGAAATGTCTCCAATTTGAACTAGGCTGAGATTAATCTCTAGATATGTTGAAAATCTCAAATGAATTTAAGTGAAATGGCCTTTTTTTTTTTAATATTGCTGGGAAAGTCTTTTATATGATGTCAGAAAATGCAAATAAACAAAGGCTTTGAGGGTTATTTTCGCAGACCAAGTCCCAAAAAAGTTGGAATAAATTGAGAATAAAGCATCATACGATAAAATTCAATTTCAGGGAATCACACTGGTTTATCCAAAGGATGGATTGTGGGTCAGCTGACCTCTGGACATGTTTTCATTAGCCATTGTGTAGAAGTTTTTAGGACATTTTCTGGTCGTTCAAAGTTTCATTTGCAACTTCAGCGTGAGATCTGAAAACTGGTCCTACGTTTTTGTTGCAGAAAACCGCCTGAAGAAGATAAAGGGCCAGTCCAGTGAAGTGACCTCCAGGGACATGCTGCGCTCCTTGTCTCAAGCTAAGAAAGAGTGCTGGGATAGATTTCTGCACGATGCACAGACCTCGGAGCTTTTCCAGGAGGGCGACATGGATGAGAGGTAGGATGTACACGCGGAGACTAATCTCTCTTATTTCAATGAGAGCACATCATTTCTCGGCATTTTAATTTAATTTTGGTCACCATTGTGTGTGTGCTTCCCTCCTCAGTGCTCTGGAACACTTCAAGAGGTGGCTCATCCCAGAGAAGGTGGCCATCAGTGCCGAGGAGCTGGAGTACCTTCTGAGGCCGTCTCAACTTAAAGAACAAGCCGAATCAAATCCCACGCAGAACGGGGAGGATGCAGAGGGCGAGACGCTGAGCCATGAAGAGGACAGCCCCCACGATCCGGAGAAATGAGTGGCGGTGGGAGTGCTGGGGCCATTCCTTTGTCGTGAGGAGGAGACCAATGCCTGCCCCGTTGCTATCTGGAACCGTCTTTTGTGGAAACAGTGTCGTGGCCAAGCTTTTCCTGTCGGCCATCAGAGGGCCCTCTACAGGCCCCCCCCCCTTCCCTGTGCCCCAGAGTGTTGCCCAATCGGTCATGTGCGTTTTGTCTGTTGTCTGTTGGCTTAATCTCCTCGCACCTTGTAAATAATCCCGTTTATCTCCTTTTTGTAGTATCTGGTCTGATAATGTTTCTGAACTTTGAGTGAACATGAAGATTTTCACGAGGGATCACACGCAGAGCTATGCTGAAAAAAAAATTGCAGAGACCTGCTCCTTTTGGATTTAAAGATGGCGTCGGCTGGGGAAAAAAAAAAAAAACGGACTGGTGTAACATATCATGCTAAGATTTTTATTTTCACCTTGTTGATTTGACGCAAACTCTAAACTTCAATTCAATAAAAAGAAGTCAAACTGATTCTGATCTTTTCTCAGACTGAGCTTGAACGCAGAGGAGCAGCTCAAATGAAATGTGTGTGTCCATCAAAGGAGCCTCTGGATGAATGTTTATCATCCCGGTCCTGCGCAGAGGCACATCTGGGCCACAGCCTGAGTGGGCCTGCTCACGCCTCTGTGCTCTGTCCCTCTGAGTGTGGTGTCTTTAGATGGCAGCAAAGAACCAAAATGACTTCATCCCATTATTTTACAAGCCAAAGTCTCTAGAAGGCGCTAACATTCTGTAAGCGTTTGAGGCTCTAAAGAAGATGCATTAAAGATCATACTGTACTCTGAGCATCCTGTGGAAGGGAAAGTCAGATGTGCATATGATGTATTCAAAATGGACATCCATCTATCCTGTGAGCCAGCAGTGATTTTTAGTAAATATTCTATCTTTTTGTTGTCTGATAGGATCTCTTATCATAGGGGAAGATAAATAACAAACCAGTAAAATGTACCCCAATTTTTCATTCCGTCCATTTGTTTAGCTAATCTAATATCAACTTATAAAACTTATTAAAGACAAAAAAAAAGCCCATCTCATTTGTTTAAAGCTGAAGGATCCACGTACCCTCGGCCCACTTGAGTTTAGAGAGAGAGAAATCTCATAAGTTCTTTTAATTTCCATGCCTGGTACATGGCAGTACTTCACAAAGGCTCCTCTGATTACCCGTTCAAAATAAGCCTCACATTTGAACAGCGGCGGGGCCTCATTATCCTCAGAGCTCTGCAGAGCCCCTGTAGAGCTCTGTGTCCACAACACACACCCCCTAAACAAGCCAAAGCTAAAACGGAACTTAAAACATTTTGGACAAATGGGCGTACATGTAGAGTCCGAGTGAATAGGTGTATATAATTAAGATTAGTATCTATTAAATGAAACGTAGTGATTGATCCAGGTGAAGATGGGAACAGCCTGTGTCACAGCACCGTTTGAACACTATCAGCCTTCACACTTCCTGTATCAGGCCCTGCTTTTGAAGTGGGACACAGCCATTATTAACTTTTGACCGGCTCCATGGTTAACATCTTTTGAAACCACATCTCATTGTCACTGATATGATATCATCTCTTGATATTTTCATTAATATTATCTTCACTAAAAAAATCTCAAAGCTCAACCCACAGCTTCTCCCATTTTCAAGTTCATCCAGAGTGTGGAATACTTTTAGGGAGCCGTGGAACATCGCTTCCCCCCCAAATGCAGCTAAAATCAGCCGTCTGGAAGCAGGTTCTGATGATAGTAGTGATAGGAAATTCTGGATTGATATCTGTTCATTTATTCTTTTAACATACTTCCATGCGGGTTAGGTCAGACCGAATTACGAGGCTGCACCAGGGTTTTTTTCCCCCCTTAAAGCTACAGAAATTGCCATCCGAGGAGCCAACTTATTGAATTGACTTAGCAAAGTCAATTCAAATGAGGAAAATCATGAAAGCGTGCTAGTGAATGCTTGACCTCATTATCTATTATAACTAGAATCAGCTGCTGTCTGACATGAAATCCATTGGGAACCCCTTGACCAGACAGCCATCTTCAAGCACCAAGCACAAAACTGAAAGTATAAAATCAACTAATCTCTTTGTTGTTTCCTTCTCCCTCGACTGGAAGGCGCACCGTTTCATCTAGTTTCATGTGCGCACTGTTTAATCTATATCATACATCTGGCTTTACTTTGTCAGTTTTGGAAATGTTCTTTAAGTTTTCAAAGAAAACAGTAATCATTTCACTGAAAAAAATGAGTCAGGGAATTCAACACAAATTTGATTAAAAGTAGCATCCATCACAGTAAGGTGTTTCCACTCAAGTCCCCACGTGACGTCCACAACACGCTCTTCACCATCAAGGATGCCACTGGACAAAGGAGGGATGGAATTATCACTAAATTTCCATTTCAAAACTAAAATCTGATGTCAGTCACAGCGACCTCGTGAAGAAAGTATAAAGATGTCCCTCCCAGCAAAGCCCCGGGTTAATCAGACCGATCCCAGCAGCAGAAACAGCCCACTTGACCTGTTCCAGCTGAATGAAAACTTGACAAACAGGAAATGTTTAAAGAGATAAAAATCTCTGGGGGGAAAAGAACTGCAAAAAAAAGCTCATCTCTTAGCAAAAAAAAAAAAAAATCCCTGGTCTTGCAAACTTTAAAAAATTTCAGATTTTGGTGGATTCATTTTCCCAACAGCTTTCTATTATCAAATCAGTACTTGTGGGCACACGGTGGACTTTAGGTCCTCCTGGAAAGTTTGGGATAAAAGGTTTCTCGGTTTCTCATCTTGTCTGCCCACATGGGAGCGTTTCCGTTTGTAGTCCTGCCCGTGGCGTTCTCCGCTGGCTCGGCACAAAAAGGGAGGCCGGCGCCCTGGGATTCTGCTGCCACACAACACACGCTTTCGTTTACCACGCCGGCTTATCCGGCCCACACGTGCTCACTGCGGTGGCACCACATACAGTTTTATTACTCTGCGGATATTGCAGCAATAAAAAGTTACATTCTACACGAGGAACTCATCAGACAGCAGAAAGAAGAGTCCACCTGGTCTTCTCAGAGAAAATCACAGCTCGGCAGTCTGACAATTCCCCCCCAAATTGCTCCCAATAACCGCAGTCCTGTTCCCATCAGCGCCTAGAAAGCAGAAGAAACACCTCCGTGGGGGGGAAGGGGGGGGGGGGCAGTGGGCTCTGAAAGACACCAGCATCTAATATGACGTCCAAGCAAAAACCGCAAATTTGGGAAAATGTGTTTTTCACATACACACACACACAAAGAGTAAAACTACAATGATATTTGGTATAAACATAAAGCTCTATGAGTAACTGAAAAGACAAAGAGACATTAAAAGGTTATAGGGAAAAACGTAAAGGCGCCTGGTACAATTAAGCCCAGATGAAAGCTCGGCCTCTGCCATCCCTTAGCGCACAAAATGTCATCATTACTATGTAATGCAAGCAAACAGCAACAGCTACACAACTTCATTGCCTCCAAATTAATTAGACACTTTGGTATCTTCACAACCGGCCTGCTGATAAGAAGTCCGGTGCAAATTAATTCTGCCCCGGATCCCCCTTTGACACTCACTTTGTGTATCACAGTGTCACGCTGGTTTTGTGTGGCACTTAAAACAAGACCCACAATTTTTAAATTGCTTTGAGTATTATGAATACCTAATATGTGCTGCTGGACAAAGATCGTGGTTTGAGTGTTATTAGTCCAATTTGGACATCATTTCTAAAACCCCGGCATCAGTTTGTCAGTGTGTGTGTGTAAGGGTGTGATGGTGTGTGTGTCTGTGTAAACCAGCTGCCTTGTGAAGAACCTCACAGCCAGAAGTGTGACATCATTCATTCATCATTTACAGCATGAAGGGAAACAGATAACTCTGTTTTTTTTAAAAGTCAAAGGCAACTCTTTCATTCACATGACTGTTTCAGGATAGATTGTGACAATATTTAACATAATTAGCATAAAGAAATTAATAAAATGCGTCAGAGTCATTCACAGGTGCGTTATGAGTCGGCTTTTGCCATTCAAATCCTGATCATTTAGAAATGAAATGTACACTATTCTCATTAGGGGAATTTACAGATGACTGATGATGATTATCTAATATCTTCTCTATGGGAGGTGACTCACTCCAACAAAGCGAGCGGTGTGTGTGTGACGGAGAGAGGCAGAGGATGAAGGCACCGCGCACCTCTCCACTCTGGAGCAGCGCGCTCTGCAGTGAGGAGGTGAGGCTGCACAGCACCCACACAGAGACGCTAACAGGTGCCCAGCCGTCTGCCCGACAGAGGTAATCTCACCTTTACACGCACACACACACACACACTTCACAGCCTGAGAACTGATCATTGTTAGTTATCATTCCATTAAAAAGAAATGTTTCTTTGTGACAACTTGTTATTTCTCGGTTACATTTTTTTTGTTGTGATCAGGTGCACAGTTCATAGTGGTAATATTGAAACGCTGACCGTTTTCTCAGAATCTGATTAGTTCTGACCAGGAAATCTGACGATTTTTGCCATCTATTATTCATTTGTTTCTTAATTGTGTTACTGCAAAAAGGAGAAAAAGGGAAAGGCAGCATGCTCTGCATCTGCTCGTTTGTCCAAATGATGCCTTTCTCCTAAATCAGACTAAAATAACTGACATATAAAAGATCTCTAAATGTTTTGTTTTTTTGTTTTTTTTGGAGGAACCGTATGTTTTAATCATAGCCTCCTTCTGCAGCCACAGAATGCAAAATGAATCCTCATTCATGTGCTTTTCCCAGTGATGCTGCAGCAGTCACTCAGCCCTTTCTGGATTACAGGCTGACATTTACCGGTCCAGAGTTTTTGGGGCTTCTGATCTGATTTAGAGACCTGAATTTTAACAAATGATGATGTAACACAGCAGATTAACGCAGCTGCTTGACTTAAATCATGAAATTTCGATAAGATCATAATTAATTTACTTCTGAGCAGCAAAACATACAAAGCGTAACACAACATAAGATATACGATATATATAATATGTACTATAATTATATTATATTTGATCTACAAATGCAACAAACAAACAACACAATTAGTCTAAAAATGTCTGTAAATGAACAGAATATGCAGAGTATTCTCTGCTTCGTTGCTGTTATTCTGTAAGGTCACAGTCTTTGCTCCTCATTAAACACACATTCCCACCAGATGATCGCGTTAGAAACAATAGAGCATACCTCTCTCTTGCTACAGAGCTTGGTCTCTGTGAATAATCTTTGGATTTTTGCAAAGTACAGAGTCTGTTTTCCATCCCAGCTATGTCTATTAAAACCTTCACGGTCACATTTAGCCAAAACTGGTGTTCAGATATCATGAATCTGTGCAATGAAGTAAATAAAAGAAAAAATGACAACAAGCCTGTTGAACCCCCTTATTAGACATTGTAACCCACCATAATCCTTTGCAAATAATTGAACAAAGTGGACAAGCAAAGCATCAACGTTAGCCTCTCTCTTCCTGCTGGTCTTTGAACCAGACTGCAATCCTTCCTGTTGAACTCTAGTGGACATAATACGATGCTAAATGAGATGTTTAATGAGATGTTTAATGAAGAATGCTCCGGCTTAATGCTTTCTAACAAGTAGAAAATCGAATAATTTCCTCAACAGATAGTTGTTGATCACTGACAAGGATTAAGTAGAGAGACTTTCCTTTAATCCGTTTGGTCTTCCTGCTTTCCGCTGAAGTTCATCATCCTCCTCATGAACACACCAGCAACAGCACAACTTCTGTCCCTCTGCGCGCACGTTAAAGAGGCAATCTTCAGCCACAAAAGAGAGATTCACGTGGATCAGACACCTGGCTGGCCACAGAAACCAGCAATGGCCAGATGGAGAGGGTTTGGACTGGGCAGGAAGAATAGAAGCAGATGTGTCAGCAGCGCTAAGCAGGGCGGGAAAACGCCTCGCCGCCGCGTTTCCAGTGGAATCGATAGAGGTTTTGAAGTGGTCGCTAATTAGTTCAGATGTGACTCACCTCGTCCGTCAGCCTTCACCATTCGAGATGACTGTTATTAAATCCTAGTGAAGCGTGCAGATGCTTTTATGTGGGAGTAACAGGCTGGTAATTCTCACTTGCCTCTCAATTGTGGGCCTGTTTTTTTCCCCCCTCTGCAGCCATGGACTGGGAGAAGGCTTGGAACAGGTCCATGGGGAACTCCACGGACTGGACCTCCGACTCCTCGTCCTCTTCGTCCTCGCCCTGCTCCAACTCTTCCCCCCTCGTCTTCTCGCCCACTTCCCTGTCCGCGCCCCCCTTCACCGGCTTCGACCTCCTGCTCGGCCTGAGGCTCCTCTTCATCCCGCTCTACTCGGCCGTGGTGCTGATCGCTTGCTCGGGGAATCTCCTCCTGCTGTTTCTCATCTGGCGCGACAAGAAGCGACGCAACACCACCAACTTCCTCATCGGCAACCTGGCGCTGGTGGACCTGGCCATGTGCATCTTCTGCGTGCCCCTGACGGCCTCCTACGCCTTCGACCGGCGCGGCTGGGTGTTCGGCTACCACATGTGCCACTTTGTGAGCGTCATGCAGTCGGCGGCCGTCTACGCCGCCGTCCTGTCCCTCACCGCCATCGCCGTGGACCGCTACGTGGTGGTGGCCTACCCGGTCCGGAAGCGGGCGGGCTGCCAGTTCTGCTGGGGTCTGGTGGCCCTGATCTGGCTGTCGGCCCTGGCCCTGTCCACCCCCGTGGCGCTGCACACCGTCCACCTGGATCTCCGCGCCGCCGGCCTGGAGATGGCCGTGTGCGAGGAGTTCTGGGACGGCCAGGAGCGCGGCCGCCTGCTCTACTCCTGCTTCAGCCTGCTCTTCTCCTACTTCGTCCCGCTGGCCGCCGTCTCCGTGTCCTACTGCGCCATTTCCTACCACCTGAAACGCAGGACCAGGTCGGGCCTGACGGCCTGCGCCGAGCTGAGGTCGGCGCGGGCGGCCTGGAGCAGACGGCGGAGGAAAACCTTCTGCCTGCTGCTGGGCGCCGTGCTCTGCTTTGCCTTCTCCTGGCTTCCCTTACAGGTGTGCACATGAATAATACAAAGCATGGTTGCATTCATTTACAGATACATTTCTAGGAATAGATCCAGAATTCTTAATGAGAAAATACCCATTACTTAAAAATCCAAACGTCCCTCCGGGGATGAATAAACTAATCTATCTGTCTATCTATCTATCCCCTAAGAGCTACACAATCAAATAAATGCCATTCTCATATTTGTTAATGCAAACCCATTCTTTACACAGAACACCGGTATAGTGCACTTTAAAAAATAATTCAATGATGGGCTAATACTTTGAACAACAAATGAATGGGAAATAGTTTATATTCAGACAGGTTGCACACAATGGAAACATTTTTTAAAAAGTCCTACATTTAAAAAATGCAATAAATGTAAAAATATTCTCAAATATTTCACGACACAAAAGACAGTGGAAGATTAAAACAAAAAAGAAATGCTCAAACTGCTAGTGTATGTAGATTTTGAAGCTCGTGTTTTTAGTGTAAAAAAAGAGGAAACAAGCTATTTCTTCTGCTATTATTAGCTTTCCAATCACAACAATTCAAACTCTTGTCTATCTTCCAGCCAGGGCATTTAAGCATATTTAATAAATGTTCATGTTTTCAAGGAGTTCCATAATACTGAAACCTTGATTAACACTTAAAACAACCATCTCTACCTCACAGGTGGTGAACTTGATTCGAGACCTGGACACAGACTTCGCCATATTGGGGAAGAATTACGTAAATGTCATCCAGGTGTCGGCTCACCTGCTGGCGATGAGCTCCACCTGCTACAACCCGTTCATTTACGCCTCGTTGCACAACAAGTTTATCTCCTATTTGTGTCTGCACCTCCTGTCCCGGGGAAGGGGGGGCGGAAAGGACAGAGGTCAAGGGTCAAGCATGCTGACCGTCTCCCACAGAATGCAGCGCCTTCACACCTGCACCACCGTGGCCGACTCTGCTGTCAATGAGAGCGCTCCGCGGGGAAACAACTAGGTCGCTTTTCAGTTCATCCAACCCCCCAAAAAATCCCCGAAATCAGATTTGTCACAGCTTGTGTCGTCGTCTTGTCAGGACCGACTTAAAACTGGAGAAAGAAGAGAACGCATTCGAAGAGCAACGACTCATTGGAACAGCGACGTTTTCAAAGTGGGGATGCAGCAGACACACACACACACACACACACACAGACAGTGTGCGGCCGGTAAGCGGTCACAGAACAATACAGGTGTAGAAAACATCTGTCCGCTTCAGTGAAATGGATTTATGTGATTTCATTCTGTTTCAAACAAATTTGTGTGTTTGAAAATCCGTTTAACTGTGAAAAATATCTTGTTAATCAAAGATTATAGTTTTTAATGTAACCGTTGTACATCATTTTGTTTTTGTGACTTGAATAAATTATATTATACATGTCGCGTAAGAGAATATCCAAATATTCCTAATGTTTTTGTCTACTTTAAAGATTGTGTGTTTGGTTACATTTGTGCAGGTTAAAGTTCTGATATTATGAAGATATGATACTGGAGAATAACATGGATACGTTGTGACTTGAAATATTTATTTTCTTTCTCAGTCATTTTCAGTCTGAAAATGGGAAACACAGTAAACAATGAATAATAAATATGTGTTATTCTTGGTCTCGAATCAGTAAACTCATCACGTTCTTTAAGCATCAAATTTGAACCTATTGAACAAAGCGCGAGCACATTATTTCTAGAGGATAACAGGGAAAGAAAAATATTATCTTTGCTGCTTGTTGTTGGCTGTAAAACAATTTGATTATTAAAGCAACACTACCACCAAGTTTTTACAGGAAGATTAAAGAAGTTTTTGGTAAACTCCTCCTGTAATGTGTTGATTTGGGGGGAGAGGATTACAGCCCACAGCCTACAAGTAAATTCCCTTTAGTGATGGCTTGGAAGGTTTGATTTAACAGAATACTATGCAATAGTATGACTCAAAATATCTATCAATCACATCATGTTTCACCACTAAGTGGACGAGGACTTGTTTTGACAGATCCCCATTATATGAAAACAAATCTTTGAAAAATATGTTTTTCTTTATTTTCAATAAATAGATAAACAGAAAACCATTAGTGAGGCTTTCGAGTTTCTCTGTTGACTAAACCCATTAATGAGCAATTATGTCAGAATACAGTACGCTCAATTATCCGGACTTGTGTCTGCAAAATCAACATTCAATATAAAAGTTTCTCTGTTCGTGTGTACTGAGGCCTCTTTATTCAGTATTAGCTAAAAAGGCCTTTTGAAAAGGGAATACTTTTAAAAGCACCTAATGAATCTCAATTAAACATTTCCTAATGGCTCATCTGAAGCACTTTTTAACACAACTTTAAATAGCAAAAAGATGCATATTTTAGCAGCTGATGGATGAAAGAAAACCTGGTCCAAAGCAAAACTTCAGCCCAGTCAAGGGCTTCTTTACAGAAAGAAAAGAAAAACAAATGATCACATAAATGACTAACCAGTGGCATCTTCGAGGAAATACAAAATACATACAGACGTATATACATACTTAGTGTACACATTTGATTCCCACCTCTTCATCCTGTTTGCTGCGTATTTGATGGGCTGACTGAATGCATTGAGGCTCGCATTGTTGTACCACGTAATGGCTCAAATGAAATCAATACTACAAGAAAAACAGTGAGAAAAAAGAGAGAGAAAGCACACACAAGAAACACTCGGGAAAAAATGCTTTCATTTTTTAACAATAAACAATTTACAGAACTCCAGATTCTACTCCGTGATACTTTTGTTGGAATCAAGAAGTCAAAAAGAGTGGAACACTTCCTGTTGTGGAGTTAGGGTTGTAAAAATCCCACGAAAATGAACCCTGTCATAGGATGAGAATCTGAACATATGAAATGAACCAACTTGTTTCCTGTGCTTGCTTTCAAATCAAATAACAGAAGGAAAAACACTTTTTTAAAATCAACATTGATTTGATAGGTAATCATCTTTGACTTTCTGAAACTTTCTAAATAAAAAAATTGATGTGCCAGAAGGATAAACAGTGACTGTGTTCTCTGTCCATCAAGTGTGATAATACAGAGAGAAGGAACGTTTTAAAAGAGCTCAGACTGGAGGAAAATGCACAGTGAGTCCGTTTGCTGAAAGCCTTTCAGGTGGATGACTGAAGGACCTAAAAACTCTGCCAAAAAACTCTGTCCCTCACCGCCAATCATGCAGTGAGCAGATCACAAAACCAGGGAATTCCCGTAAAAACGGCTCCCTCGCCTCCCCAAACGGCTCCTTTTGGAGTTTTTAGGAGAAATGTAGTGTTACTGTCAGACAAATGGATGGTGTAGAACCTCTGAAGACCAGTTAGTGGAGCCCAACCCATCCCTGTGCTTCTGTAGAGCTCTGTTAACCTCCACACATTTTACGTCTGACTTCCAGCAGATGCTTTTGTAAGGTTTGCTCCTCGTCCGCGTATGCTCCCGGCATCCTTTCTGCTGGATTAAATATGTAAATGTAAACACACGACTGAAAACGTCTTAATTAAAATGCCATTTCCGCCCCGACAGTAACAGGATGTCCATGTTTTATAGTCATCAAGAAACTTCTTGCACCTTTCCGCTGGTGCTTTTTATTGCTCCCCCACTGCTGGATGTTTAACTTCGCAGGAGATCCTTTCACAATCAGAGACCTCGACTCTCTCCGCAGGCTTTTTATTCAATTAACATCAAGATTCAATGTTGATTAGTTTGTAAGAATACAGTCTCTTCTTTTCAATCACTTTCATTTCCTGGTTATCTTGGTAAAAGGTGAGATGAATAAACAAATTATGAGTTTCTTCTTTTGATCCACGTACAACTTTGTGAAAGGACTCTGAAACAAATTATGAGTTTCTTCTTTTGATCCACGTACAACTTTGTGAAAGGACTCTGAAATTTCTGATAACAATTGTCAACTGTATAAAAAAATCTATTCTAGTCTTTTTGTTTCCATCAGAAAATGAACCCGTGTTCAACTTTTTATCCCCTTGACCTACAAATATTCAAGTGATGGAAGATTTATCTTTTTAAAATATTGTTTACCTGACAGATTATGGGCCATATAAAAAAATTTACAAAGATTTTAAACATTTTTTTTATAGCCCTTAAAAGGCTGTTTTAGCTAAACCATGTCACTAGTTTATTTATACAAATACGCATAAATAACTCATTTTAGTGCTGAGGTAAGATTCAAACCATTTTCTCAGTTTTTTCTTTATTTCTGAGCAACATCTAAAGATTAAGAAGGATTGAGTTCCATGTGTGATGGAGTACTGGGTTGGTCTAATGTGGGGTGTTAACTTTAAATAAAAAGCCTAAGAATGTGAATTCCAATTTTTTCAAATACGTCTGATGCTCGATTTGAGAAAATATGATCAAACTGACTTTGGATTTCAGTCCATCAACCCATAAGTCATTTGCATTCACTTCTTAAACTAAACTGCCCACATGGAAGTCAGTTTTAAGAATAGTTGGGCTTCTCCCAGAATTGGAAACATTCAAAAGCGATTTAATGAAATAAAACATTTGACTGAATTCATTATAGCTGCACTTCATACATTTAACACAGTAAGTAATCTTTTAAAGTCTTTGCTCTATTCAGTATTGTGTAATAAAGCAAAAATTGAAGCCTACAGTGTGAGTGAGCCACCATGTGGATAAGTATCACTACTGCAGCTTTAAGCCTGGAAAGACATCACTGGGTAAAAAAGTCTCCAAAAATCGTGTTCAAACTCATATATTATTTATTACAATTAAATATTTTTCTTATATTACAGAGGTCCATTTGAAACCATACAAATAATCTGTGCTGTGATTAATATTTTCAGGATATTTCCAAAAAGCCATGCAAAGAATACAAACATAAATTCACATAAGAAGAACCAACATTCATGGTTTTTGTAGGCCTGGGAATTAAATTAAATTCATGATGCCGTATGTTAGATTCTCTTTTTGGTGCAAACATTTCACGGTTGTAATTCAAGATCAGACCAGCAAAATAAACAAGAAAAAAAAAAGGCATTTGGAAAACTACTCCTCTTATGTTTCTCCCTCGTGGAAAATGAATAAGTAATGGGAACAGGCACAGAGGACTATTTAAGACATAAGTATCATATTTTGATTAAAGAGAATTAGTTTTCAGGTGATTCTGAAGGCCATAATTTGCATGGTGTGCTGATCTGTGTCTGATCAGGGGGCGGAGCTAAAGGCATTATGAAAATCTAACCAAATTCAACCAAATCTGTTTTGGGTTGTCTGGCTTTATTTGTTTCACATCCACTAAAGATAAAAATACTCTCATACAAAAAAACCCTAAAGGATTACAGAAAAAACCCTCTCCATCCTAAATAATGAATCTAGAGAGACCTGGTCATCTGAGGACCCTTACTTCCGTGTCAAATATTAAACTATTACACAACGCCAGTTATGGTTAAATTAAGCGACATCCGTCTAAATGCTCCTGCCCTGTGCTTGTCGGGCTGATAGAAATACTGTCTAAGTTTCTCCTTCGTGTGCAACAGCAGCTGTGGCCAGCTCATTGCGTTTGACTACAAATAGCTGAAAACAAGTGTCCATGCTTTCTATATTCAATTTGTGGTAATTCATGAAAAAGTGATGTAGAAGTTGTGCTGTTATGAAGTACAAAATAACCAGAACCACCTAAGTCTGTGCGTTGTTGGCCAGATACTCAGTAGGGATGTACTGAAATGCCCAGGTCACATTTCTGTGAAAAATAACACAGATCAGTTTCAGACTCATTCTATTCTCCCTAGTTTCTAAACTTTTAGAAAGAAGAAAAAGGACCCGGGAATTCCTCTAGGGCCATGTGCTTATCCAAAGTGGCCAGAGTCGCTAAAGCTGTGCTGCTGTCACGGGAGGCCAGGGCTGGTCATCGACTAGCCAAAGCAGATCTAACCCCACAGCCAAGGCAGACGGGATCCTGTTTTTGTGTTTTTAACTAAGGCTCTCTCCACACCTAACGAGTCAAACTGGATAATTGATTAGGAATGGCGAGTTCCAAGACTATCAAAAGAAACAAGAACATTTCCATGCTATCCCAAACAGGACAACATGCAAATATGATTCATGCGGACAGCGTTAAATGAGGGAGGATGCTGATTTATGGTGTGGCCCGGTATGGTTTTTATGTATGGAATAAACAGAAACAAAAACCAAAGAAAAAAAATAAGAGAAATATATTGGATTTATCGTTTAACATATCAAACTATTAAAGGTCTGTTGAGAATGTGACTTTATCTAAATGCTGGCAAAATATAAAAGTTTGTAGATCATAATATGGATACAGTTGGTCAACTAAGGTGGACTTTCTAGGAGGAATTTAGAAAAATTTCAGAGCATTTTGCAGAATCATGTTGTCAGAAAGACATGATATGAGTCTGGCTAATCACAGTTATTGACAAACAATGAGGGTAAAACCAAAATGAGAGGAAGCAACTTACATCAGTAAAAGATCAAATGACGACCGGCCTGTTAGCTTAGCATAACACTAACTAGAGGGCTAGCTTCCCATTAAGACTGGAAACGGGGTTATGAACACAACAGATGAAGAAATATGACAACACAAAAAATCTTTACTCCTAAACCCCACCCCTCCTACATCCAAAAGATTTAGAGGGATCCCTCCTACTGTTGTCTGTATGCTAAGATAAGCAAGTTACACAAGGGCTGCATCACGAAATCTTCCATCTCACCTAGTCTTTACTCGTTGGCCATTTCAATAGTAAGAGCCATCGATGTTCCTGAACAAAGCGGTCAAAATGTGAACATGATGAATGTTGTCTCGCTGGACATCAAAATGCATTTTAAGTGTCTTGGTTTCCAGATCAGCACACAGACGAGCTGTACAGAGCCGAGCCGGGACCAGTACAACATTTCTAAAGGAAAGGCTGGGAATAAGGCAGCAAGATCGAGGGTGCAGGCTACTGGCAAGGTAAATCATCAGGGCATTCGGCATGTCAAGGTGAGGAGGCAAAGCTTTCTCGTGTGAGTAGAGGAGAAAGTAGAGTGACAGGAAGCAGGGAGAAGCCAAGGTACATTTTGGTCCTGCGGGTTAATCGTCTGTGGTCCTCCAGACGGCTCACGGCAACATCTCAACACCACAGTAAAACAGCGCTGCATCGGGTAGGCAACTCAAACATAGAAGTGCTTTTGCAAACGGCTCACACACTTTCCGTCTTCTTGCAGCTAATGAGGAAAGACAATTTCAACCTTGTTTCTAAATTAGGAATGATAAGCACTCATCTAAAACTCTACTCTGTTTTTTTTTTTTTTTTAAATGATCTCTTGAAAATAAATTATATTTTCTCAGTACAGAAATAAATACATATCTTTTCTCAAACATGGGAACGCGTCGTCACAGATCTAAATGCTACACTGAATACAATGCTCAGTACTGAGAAGTCACTGGGCTCGTCGGTGTGGAAAGAAGCGTCTCTCTGATGCTATCCGACACTAAAACAGAAGACAGAATGCAAACAAACAGCTTGCTGACATCAGAGCCCACCACACCACTTTCCTAAAGAAAAGGTCAAATACATTGGAGATGGGATAACAAACTCCCTAAAGCTCGACTCACTGGCTGTGCAGGACCACTCCGGTCCAGTCAGGTTAGATAATATGATTTAAGCAGACTGTTACTTGGACAGAGGGTTTGTCCACAATAAAACGGTTTAATCTTTGAACTGTTGGTCGGTTATTCAACACACCTGCAAAACCACAAATATCTTTCTGTCGTAAACGTTTGATTTGACTGGGTTCAGGTCAAAGATTATATTTGATTTTAAGCGGAATAGTGATATGAAACAGGGATTTCTGGACATGAAAAGGGAGGAGGGAGGGTCAGGGCCAAAACCAGAATAAAGACAATAAAAAGTGTATTTGAAAATGAAACTGTGTTATTGTGGATGAGCCCGTGTCTAGTAACGTAGAAACCATTCTTATGTCTGTGTGCACTTATAGAGCTGGGACCGGCAGCAAGTCAGCAGAACTCCGAGCCTGAAAAAGCCTCTTTTAGCAAAGCCATGCTAACCAGCTGATGAAGGGCTTCATATTAACTACACAGAGACCAAATTATTCAATGACTTTTCTACACTAGTTCTAGACCACAGCTAAATGCACACCATGGCACTTCTAAGCAAAAGTTCTCTATGCAGTGTCCTGTAGAAAATCCTTTGTTTCAGCTACAAGATAGACATTGAGGACCTTTAAACTACTGACAACTTAAGGGAAATTATATTGATATATTCACCCACTGAGACATTTCTATTGCTCTCCTCTCCCTTCACAAAGACCAGCGTCGCACGATATGCTTCAGAACCTCTTTGCCTACAGAGCATCGTCTAAACATTTAACGCCTCATATCTGACTGGCAGATAGTAGCATTCTTACACGTAACACCGACTGCCGACCTGCAAAATGTCACAGTTCTAAGAGCTACAGTAGCATTTTCTACAGCAGAGTACATCCCGGTCTTCACGCGGCTGCTACAGCACCACAGCCATGAGGAAGGATCATTGAAACTGCCATACAAACTCTTACACATCACTTCAAACCATTACTTGTACTGAATAAATGGGTGGCGTGATAAGTATAAACACAAGATTTGGAAGCAAAAAAAAGAGGAAAAAAAAGCTCTCAATCCTTGGTACTAGGCAGCAGGAGGCTAACTGAAATGAGTGGAGGCTGACGCCGGGTTGGGTTCGGACGCCCCGCGGCGCCCCCTTCTCCGGCTACTGCAGGTTCTTCAGGAGGCGTCCGTAGCGGAAGTCGTAGACGTGTCGACAGAAGTACACCAGCTCGGGGTCCACGTCGGGGGGCACACAGTGGTGGGTGGGCATGGTGCTGCCAACGACGGGTGGCACCACCAGGGAGGCAGCACTGTCGCACACACCCTCCCTACAGCGCTTCACCAAGGCACAAAATCTGGACACAGCACAGGCAGACTTAGTTCAACTGTGGGGGGGGGGGGGGGGGGGGGGGACTCAAGACAGAAACTGCTTATTTCAGATGGCTGGAATCCTTCAGTAAAACCAGGGCAATGGAAAATAAAACAACAACCTTTGAAATGTTTGAAATAAACATATGTGCTGAAAAGGGAGATTGCTAGCGGAACCGCGCATGGGAAACTCTGTCTCTTACCGACAATACTGTGCCAGCGTTAGGACATAGCATTTGTCTTCAATACAGGCCACGCTGTTCACGTCCTGGTGACGAGATGCGAAGATCTCATTCTGCAGAGAGACAGGGAGGTCAGAGCCAAACAAACAAACAAACCGACACAATCCTCCTTAAGCCCCACATTTTGCACATTCTAACCCGCCGTAGGACCTCGTCTGCCCCCCCCCCCTCGCTCCCTGAAATACTGTGAGGGGAGGAATGTCTAAGACCTGTTCGCCTGCTCACGCTGCTGCACTGATTCGTTTTAGCCTGGCCTGGCCTTTGTGGGGTTTTTATTGATTCGAGGTGCTGGGCTGAGCCTGGTTTAGTGATAAGACATTAGCCTTAAGCCCATGGCCCGAGGCCCGTGTGACAGCTAAACTCGAGGCTGTGTCTGCGGTGGGGGCCTAAAGGAAGCTTCTTACCTCGCAATGCACTCTGGGGTTGCGACCCCCCTGTGTGTGTTCTGGACGGTAGTACCAAAACAAACTCATCATCAGCTCTCCTGGGGTTCGGTGGAAAGAACAAAAAAAAGGGGAAAAAGAGAAAAGAAAAAACATTTATTTTAGTTCTCCTGAAGTTCTTACTGCATCAGGTCCAGCTTCCATCGTGGTGGACATGACCTTCCCTTACCTGACTCCACGTCCTCCCACAGAGCCGAGACCTTGGCCACGTAAGGCAGAGACTTTTTTCTGGGTCCGGACTTCAACAGGACTGTGTCTCTGACCCGAATCAGGTCGCCGTCTCTGCGGATTCCCTCGTAACACTTCCTTGGCGCCGGGCTCTCCTCCCCCTGAGAACACAGGCAGCAGGACCACTGAGAGGCTGTGGAGCGGAAAGCTGCTCAACGCATTTGTGCTCCATGTTGGGTGCCTGCCTAAAATCAAGTGTTTAAAAAGTTTTTAAAAAAAAGAAAAGAAGCTATAACAATAGCCTGAGGTGACTAAGAAGCAGGCGATAAATCATCTCAAGCCCTTTTGGGATTGTAAAGTTGAATTACTCTGGATGTAATTAAGGTGGTGCCTTCGTGGCTGTAAAAAAAAGAAAAGAAAAAAGACTTAAATGACTTTTACCACAATGAAAACCTCCTTCTCAAAGGGCAGGCCCACTGGCCTCCAGCCGTTGGTGGATTTCTGGCGGCTGTTCTTTGGCTGCTTGGCAACGCCGTGGCCCCCGGCGCTCACGAGGCTCAGCTTCTGCTTCTTGTCTCTGCTCAGGGGGGAGCCGGTGGAGCCCTCTCGTGCACCAGACCGCGACCCGCTGGGCGGCTTGGCACTCTGCGGGCACTCTTTCGCAACCTGCGGCGGAGGCTGGGGCTGGTTGGGGTCGGACAGCGGAGTCTGAATGTGGGGCACCGATTGGCCGGCCGGAGGCACAGTGGAAACGGGGCAGCCCGTGAGGATTCTGGGGGCTGGACAAATGGGAATGGAGGAGGGGCTGTGGTGGTCATTGAGGGTTGATGGGTATTCATCTGATGGGGAAAGAGAAAAGAAGAGGCAATAAAGTGCAATGAAGACACTGACCTGTAAAGAGCAACTGCTGTGAACACCCGTCTTTAACAAGCTGACACAATAGGCATGAGGTCAAAGTCAGCAAATATTAGTTTTGCAAAACAAGCAGAGCCTCAGTTAAATTCAATCATGGCTGTTACAGGACAGACAAACCCGCGGACCACACAGGCATCCACTTAAAACTGAGCACACGGAGCAGAATGAGGGATCTATTTATGAAGACCAACTTCATCCACTCTCACTTTGTGGAGAATGATGTGAAGGTATTAGTGGTTAGGCTGTTATTAAGCAGAGTACACTCCCTCACAGGGCACAAACAAAGCACAAACAACCTGAGAAAAATTTTAATTGGATGCTAAATAAGTGAATCCCCTCAAGTGAACGATGATTCATCGACTTGTTTTACATGAATTCACAATTTCGAAAGTAACATTGAGACTTTTTGTCATCGGTGGGCTAAGTAATGGCTCATGTGCACACACTGCTGTGCACCTCTTTTACATTTTGATGAATGTACTCCACAGCTCCCAAATCAGGCAAGAAGTTTGGAATTTATTTAAAAAAGCCTGGAGAAGAATTCCTGAAGTCTAATTGGTGGAACTACAGAAAAACCTTCCAAAGGGAACTTTAAAAATTAAATGAAAACCTTTTTTTCTTTTTTTTAAGTAAAAACACACTACGAGGCTCCTAAACAATGAAGACTTTGGATGTGCCAATGAAAAGCAACCATCACCCCTTTGAACGGAGTTCACATTTTTTAGAATCGTGGCGAGAGGAGGAAGCAGTTTGGTAAATTAACTCCTCTTTTTGCACTTAAACCTCGCTTCTCCAGGAGGAGCTCAACTCTTCTGCTTGGAGATGAGTGTAAAGCAAGTGTGGAACCACGTTAGCCGGATGAAATAAATATCTCCAGAGGTGCTACACAACCAGCAGGAGTGGTAAGAAGGTGGGAATAACACCCAATCTGCGTGCGTACAGATGAGCAGAACTCTGGGCTGTGGGGGTGGACCAGGGCGGTAAGGCCAGTGTGACGACAAAAAGACAAGCAACCCGACCTGCTCAGTCTCATTCTGGATCTATTCATCGCGTTATTTACTTTTGCGAGGGTAAAAGTCTGGTGCCAACAGGACGGAAAAAGGTTCACACTGAGATTAAAGTGTGCCTCAGGTCAGAGGGAGGTCACGGCCCGACCCAGCTGGAGAGCAGAGGGGGAGAGCGCTCAGTGTGCATTGATGGGAACTGGTGTTGGTTGCTTTGTGGGTTGACGGTTCAGCTCTCAGGCTGGCGGCGAACTCCGCCAGGGCTTCCTGTTCTGGCTCACAGAGCTGCCTTCAACACTGGCACTTGAATTTCTTCAATCAGCTCACCGTGTTCCAGCGGCCTGATGCTCAGTTTGCTGAGACCAAAGAGCTCCGGCCCGCTATCTGATTTGATCAGAATTTTTTTTTTTTCCAACTTCCCATTCAAGAGAGATTCCATAATGGGAGAATAAAAATCCTCTAATATAAAAGCTTTTCTCAGCGCTTCGTACTGATCCGTCAGCAGAATGAGAGCAGCTGTGAATACAAAATAACACCACGGCTAGGACAGGCTGGTGAGCAAGCTGATTTCACACGATGCCGAGCACTTCTCTGCCTGGGAAAGTTACCTTCCGGCATAGAATAATGATCGGAGCCCGGTTGATATCGTGAATTTGGAAATAATAGCCAGAGTCGGTGAAGAGCTTGAAACGCAGGGGTAGGACATGGCCTCTAGATAGGCCAGGGGAAGATCATAGACCAGGCAGTGGGGGGGGGGGCTAAAAAAAACATTCCCCTGAACAAAAACGCAGGATCTTGTCCATAGAAAGGGAACAGCGTGATGTTTGCTTACCTCTTTTGACGCCCGGCGTGCATGTGCTGCAGTCGGTGGGGCTGAAGGGGCACCCTCCTCTGAGGGCTGGAATCACACTGGAATAGGCAGAGTAGCCCTTGATCCTGCAGGGCTCTCCATAGCACGCCTCCACGGAGGTGCAGCAGTACACCGGGTGACTAATACCTGAGGGTGGTGGGCCTGTGCTGGGGAGCAGCTTGGGCCTCTTGCTGGTCCTTGGGCATAAAGCGAGGGGGGGCGGGATGGGAGAGGGGCCGCTCTCTGGGTGGCCGAAGTGGACGTAATAGCCGGGGAAGCAGGTGTATGTGTGCGGGCTGATGGCTATGGCTGCCGAGTGGGCCACGGAATGGGGGGGCTGCAGATGGTGGTGGTGGTGGTGGTGGTGATGGTGGTGGTGGTGGTGGTGGAACACCTCGGACTGAGAGCCGTCCTCGGGTTCCTTGCAGGTCTTGTCCTCCAGGAAGAGGGCCAGTCTGTGGCAGTACTCCACACACCTCTCCTGGGAGCAGCAGCAGCAGCAGGACGACACTTCCGCCTCCACCTGCTCCTCCTTGATTGTTTTTAGGGAAAACCCCAGAGGGGAGGTGCAGTGAAAGGCGCGCTTGAAACGGCCCTGCCCCCCCGCCGGACCCTTCCGGTCGGGGTCCGGGGCCTCCGCCTTGCAGGGAGCGCAGCAGCCCTGGACGGCGCAGCTCATCTGGGAGGGATCTGGCTCTTCGCTTCCCTTTTTGTGCCTGAGCTGCTCTCCTGGTTTTGGACGCGTCCCGTTTTTGGTCTTGGCTCCCTCATGTTCCCGCTCGCCCCCGATGCCGTCGTCCGGGGCGGCTGCCTCTCGGCCTCCGTTCCCCGGCCTGGACTCCGTCTTTTTCTGCCGTTTGCCTCCGTACTGGGCGCTGGTCAGCCGGAGCAGCGCGGCAGCCGTGAGGCCGGCCTGGCGCCGCGGGGTCGGAGCCAGCAGGCTCAGCCAGTCGATGTCCGGCTTCTTCTTTTTGGGCCTTTCTGGCGGGGCTGCGCTTCCTCCCGCTGAGCCCTTTTTGGTGTCGGGGAGATCTCCCTTCGGATCGTCACCGGGAGGATGCCACTTCTTTGTGAGGCTAGTCATGAGGGAGCGGTTTCTGTAGAGCAGCAGGCTGTTGACGGCCTCGGCGTTGAGAGAGGCCATCCTCCTCCTCCTGGGCACAGTGACGGACGACGGCAGCACGAGTGAGGCGCCGGCCCGGTTGCTTTTTGGTTCCAGTGTTTGCTGAGAGGCTGCGGTAGCTTCGGTGGCTTCGGATTTGGTCACTGCTCGAACGGCGCTCTGCCCCTTTTGTACTTTTATACTCTTTTGCTTCCGAACCTTTGGTGCATTTTTCTCTTTAACAACGGCTCCTTTTTCCTCCAAACGGGTAAGCAAGACGCAACAGGCCAAGGCATCCTCCCTGGCTTTCATTACCGTCTTCTTTCTGTGGCGGAACGAGACCTTTTTGTCCATCTCTTTCCCTCCGCTTCGCTCAGTCTTTCCCTTTCTCCCAGTCTTGAGGCCACTCCCTTTTTCCTTGCTGTCCTTCTTCTTCTGACGCGTCCCACATTTCGGCGGCTGCCTCTGCTGAGCTTTCACCATAGTCTCGGCATTCGTGAGCAGATCGGCCAAACTGTTATCATCCACGGGGTCCTACAACGGTGGCGGTAGACTCAGAGAGGGCTCTTAATGATTGTCATCATGGATTACCACCTGGGTCCAGAAACTCTGAGGAGACAAAGGGCAGATATATACCGTTAATGCCACCACTCTATGATGTACCTCGTTATATGGTCACAAACAGTCAGAGAGCCTGATATGTTTTTTTCAAGGACGTTTGTGTGTACATCTGGTTAAATATTCTGATGCTGTTAAATGGTTTTGGTGGAAAACTGTCCTCCAACAGTCGTCATCCCATTCCTGCTCCCGTTTGATTTGCTGTAAAAGGATCACACTGCAGGTTCCATTCACGGTCGTCCACAATTTCACACACACAGCACAACAGGAGAGCATTCAAATTGACATCAACCCTAAACACATTCAGACGTGTCCATAACACTGTACAGCAAAAGGCAACTTGCGGGCCAGCAGAAAAGGGAAGGAGGCGGTGGCTCTTATCAGAGCTCAGACTCATGTGCCCTAAATGTTCCGGAAGATTACCTCCTCTGTTCACACATGATGGATTACTGGGAAAACCTGCCGGATAAACTCCAGCAAGACGCCCGAAGCAAAAGGATGCTGACATTTGTGTTCTCACATGCAGCCACTTTGGGATGGAAAAAAAAAGGAAGGGAACTGCTGGGCATGTGTGAAAAGTAACACAGCCGCTATATTTGGACAAATTCCCTCAAGGAGTTCGTAGGAGTTGAATGGTTTGACGGACAGCTGGACAAGCAGGCGTAACGGCGGCCTACAGCGGCGGCCTCGGTCGACGCCTCTTCGTCCTTCATGTGGTTACAGGCGCATTTGCAGCATTAAATGTGGTCTCAGGTGGATTTATGAGCAGCGCGACCCACCAAGACTCTAAGGTTTGCACACGCATCCAATTACTGTTCAAACACAAACACAAAACGCAGAAAGGGGTCAGACCTTCAGAATTGTTAAGGAACTGTCATTTACACGCTGAAAAAATAATCTAATTTGTGCACAAGGTTGCAAGGGCCGCGCATCGATAAACTCTAACAACAGCCCGCCGGTATTTACACACTGAAACAGTCCTTTGATCGGATGAGTCATGAATTGATCCTCATTTCCCAAAACTGGTGGCAGAAACACTTGTCACACAACAGCCTCCTCAGTTTCCATGTCAACAGGCTGGTATCGAGTACACCAAAGCATCTCTGGCAACTTTAGAGTAAAGCAGGCTTTATCGTCCCTCTTTATACAATTCATTTTTTTCTCCACGCTCCCTCGCCATTACAAAGAAATGCCAGCTAATATTAGGAAAAGCCTTCAGAGTTGCTGATGATTCAACTGCCAGTGACCTTTATGCAATGACACTGGTGTGCACAGCAGAAAGAGATGGATCATCCTTCTTGCAGCTGCAATGCAACACAATTATGCTACTTGACCTCCAAGAAGTAAGCCAACACGTCTTTTTTTTTTTTTTTTTGTCTATACCGCCAGCCTCTTCAGCAAGGAAACCACAGAGTTTGCCTTTCTGTTCAGACAGAAAGTCTCCACACGAACAGCCATTCAAAGGAACTGAGAAGTAAAAAAGAATAATCAGACGGCCTTCTTTTTTGGTTTCATTTACATTTCTAAAAGATTCAAATGGGGATTCTTTCTTTCCAGAGTCCCTGAGTTGGAAGTGCTCTGATTCATGCAGACAGTGAGGAAACGACCCGATGACAGAGACGGTTCGAGATGGAGGCATGTGATCTGTGCATGCAGGCAGCATGAAAACCTAATCAACTGCCAATGGAACAGAGGCATCTTTTAGTCTGCTCAAAAGAAATGCATTTCATCAACCAGAGCTCCCGTTATGAACAGGCCAACTGAGCATTTGAGGATTCGGAGCACTGCGCGCTCTGCAATTTGGATGCAACCCTCTTTTCTCCGTGATTTACTCTCCCGTGTTCTGCTGGTGTGTAATATCCCCCTTTATTCCTGTGATACTCTGCATAACAACTTCAATCTTTCTGCCATTTGCGGCTTAGCGCCGTGGATCAAACTGATCGGTGTCGGGTGGTGATTTAAAGACTGCTGCTGCGCAGCATGTAAACAGTCGTTCCACAGCTTGCCGTCGAGCATTTACGAGTATTCGGTTGGCGAGCAGCAAATTGGTAGAGTTCCACTCCGACAGTCCGGCGTCACGTGACCTCCCGGGACCAAAAACTTGCACCTTTTTTTCTCTCCAGATTTTCTCTCCGTCTGTGTTTCTAACTCATCTTTTCAGAGATTCCTATTCAAAACTTCAGCCACTCCATGATTCCTCCAACATCTGCTACAATGAATCAAAATTCATGGGTATAAAAGCATGCAAACAAATGCAAACCCACTTTGTCTCTTGTCAGATCTCGGTAATGGACAGTTTGAAACAATCTCATCATTCGGTCTTCCAGCCAATATTGCAGAATGACTCTGTGAACCGTGAAATGCAATCCATGAGGGCGAAATTTAATTTCAGCATAACAAGCGGGCAGAAGGAGCCTCGCATTGAGTTTCTGTCTGTGGATATCAAATCAAGTTGCTCCATTTGAATAGGACAGGCATGCACGGATAAAGGACAGAAGCTCATTGAGGGAGGATCATTAGTTTTCGCCGGCTAGACCGTCACCACACCCACCGCAAGGGCAGAAAACGATGGGTTTCCAGGTTCAGAACAGACTTCTCTCAAAAGTTCACAAATTTTTCGTTGCCTATGAGTAAGTGGACCCAAAGCAGGATGCAGCTTATAGGTGCTTTGTGGCATGAGCAGCACATATGTACCGAGACAGTGTGAGCATTAGAGATAAGCTAAGAGATCCAGGTGGCAACCATTCCTCCGTTTTGCTAGCAGTCGGAGCCCTTTTCCTGCTGCTTGTGTAGTCTCATTTAGCCTGAACGACAGATGCTGAAGCTTCAGTAAGGAGTTTGAAATGTCTGGTCTACAGTTTACACTTTTACATGAAAACTGTTCTTTTTATTCGCCCTCACAAATTGCAACTTTCAAGAAATACTTAATGTCTGTGTGTGTGTGTGTGTGTGTGCGTGTGTGTGTGTGTGTGTGTGTGTGTGTGTGTGTCAGTCCTTCAGTTAACAACACCATTAAGTGTCCTGAAGGGTAGAAAAGTTCCAGCAATCCACCAGGATTTTCATCTAGAACCTTCCTTAGCACAAAAAGAGGCTATCAGACAAAGGCAGTGGTGCAAAACGCAGAAACACAGGAGTAAACTCCAATCCCTCTAATTATCCATCCAACCCCTTTGCAGCGGGTTTGACCTGAATCGGAGAGAAACCGGTGGAGCCATTCGAACAGGAAACCAACCATTCGCTGTGAAAACAATGCAGCTGCAGCAGGTCATCGGACCCTGACTGAGACACAAAACCAACTTGTTGGATCATTTTGTGGTGGGGATTTAACTCCTCGCTGATGGTTTCATCTGCCTAAAGACTCGGATCTAGGAGGAAGAGGACTAGGAGACGGAGGGGAGGGGGGCTGCCTGGTTGTCACACACTCATTCGGGGAAAGGACACACGGCTAGAACTGTCATCATGAGCCCCCCCCCCCCCCACCCCCTTCTCCTCCCTCCAGGCCAGAGCTCTCCTGCAGGAATGTAAGCTGCTGTGGCGTCTTCATGTAGAGCCCATCACCAGGTCCACTCAGTAGTCGTCCACCACCAGCACCACCAGCTCCACCACCAGCACCACCAGCTCGCCTCCCTAACGCGGAGGCGAGCGGTGCCAAACACACCCACACCCGCACATGGATCCGGACGACGTTTGGCAGAGAATGCCCGTTAAGGGCAGCGATGTGCGCGAATCCAAACAAGAAAGAAAGAAAAAAAACAAACAGGAGATGAGACTCGCCTACTGGAGCTGGCAGTTGGCCGTGGTGGTGGTGGTGGTGGTGGACGGCGTTAGTCAGTCTGACAGCACGAGTCCAGGCTGTTACGGCAGAAGTGGAATGGAAAGCCAAAAAGCTTCTCGGAGAAACGCGTGCGAACGGCCCCCTCGATCGATCGATCGGACTTTGAGGAAAGAGCGAGGAAACAGCTGATAGTGGACGGAAATGTCACCGGGAGCTCGCGTTACAGCCGAGTTGCTCGAAGCAGCCGACCGACCGACCCCATCATCCCCCAACTGTGCCTGGATTACAGCCGCGATCCACCATTACCTCCCGCGTCCCGCTGGGAGGGAAAAGAACGCTTCTTTAAAAAAAAATAAAAAAAATAAAACGAAACGAAATGGCCAGATCCCTGTGGTTTTTTTGTGGCGGTCAGGTCGCCCTGGATGCGGCACCGGGGCCGGGCAGAGATCGGCGGAGCGAGCAGCCCCCGGTAGCTGGAGACATGGTGAACAAATCGGTGAGCGGTGACCTACTTCCGAAGTGGCATGCTGGAGATAATATTCATGCGCTGCCTGCGTTCGCTTTCGTCGCTGCACCGGGACATCCCTCCGAAAAAGAAAAAAAAAAAACATTAGAAAAAATAAATAAATTCCTGTCACATTCCTCGTGAGGGCTGGAACTGTGTCCCCGCACGGTGCCACTCAGCAGCCCGTCTCCCTCCGTGTTGTGTGGGCTGTTTGTGCCACGCGCAGTCGTGTTTTCTGCAGCGTGGTTTTTTTTTTCTTCCCCCTCTAAGAACATCGTTTTACTGGAACCAGCTCTATTTTGAGATGTTTTGCCACCCAACTTCCCCTGACCAGCGAGAGAAGAGAGGAGTCCCATTTCCGTGAGTTGACCCCCTAAAGCTCAAACGGGGCAGCCAGAAATGTACCAAGAGCAAACTGCAAACTCAAGAAAAAATAGATCCCCTGACACTACAAATGAACAGATAAAAAAAAAAAAAAAGTTATTTCCAAGTTACTGGTGTGAAAAGCCATTGCTTTAAAGACAAAAGCCAAAGGATGGGGTCCCACAGAGGGTCAGAACCGGTTCGTGTTGGAATGAAGACAAACACTTTGTATCTATCCGAAGATCATCTTCTGGTGACAACAATACAGATTCATGAGACATTAAATACACTTTACTTGAGCTATCTGCAAATTCCCTCTGCGGAAGAATACCTTGATGCTGATAATTGTTTCCATGGAGCCCCAGGGCCCTTCTCCATTCTCCACACTGCCGCCTGGTCTTCAAACCATGTGACCAGCCTCAGCCCCCCCCCACTCTCCTCCCGTTCACTTCTGCCGCCGTCCAATGAATGCCACATTATAATGGCAGTGATGAAACATCCAGGAGGTAATATGAGAGCCGGCATGGCCGGATTGGGAACGTGGGTTTTTTTGGGCCGTTTGTTTTTTTGGACAGTGTGCCATTTTTCCCAGAAAAGCGGAACAGTTTTGAGAAGTGGCGTGATGAGCAATAACTAAATGCCACATGTCAGCTGTGAGCGCACACAGCATCACATACTCCTGTCATGTGAATTGGAATTTCGAGTAAATACACTCAGGTTGGTGTGAAACATAATCAAAGGAGGTGTGGGGGTATACACAGGTTGGTAATTCATTAAAAAAAAAAAGAACTACTTTACAAATAAAGTTTAATCATTTCTGTCCCTCGATACCTAAAAAAAAAATAAAAAATCAGCTCTGATGAATCCCCACAAGCTGTAACATTATAACAAGTTTTGGGTGAGAACCATAGATGTATCAGACCTGAGAAGCCAAACCTGAACACAGCCTTGGCAGGCTGTTTCTCTGGTCTAATTTAGACGTCACCGCTGCACGGGTCCGTGTCAGAAATAGGTTTAATGTGCAGCATATCATGACTTATTTAGTATACTGGAAGCTACAGCCAACAAGA